AATGAGCGTCACAGGGCTCACAGTAATCTTCCTGTTTTATACTTCCGTCCCTTTTTACGAAAGCGAAAGGGAATGTTGGTACACAAACCCTATACCAACCGTTCTGGCCAACATGGCATAGTAGTCCAAAACCTGCTTTTTTAGGAGAGCCATATGTCCAGCAGAGGACTATTAAAGGCTGTTGATGATGGTATTTAATGGACTACATGGTTATAAGTACACAGTTTTAAACCACAATCCACAGAGTAGTATTATTCTCTAAATAAAAGTGGTCCACCGGCCGATACTAAGGCACTCACTTTAGTAAATTGCTTATTGGTTTAAAACATTAAACAACAGTATTAGTTTTATCACAGAAATCCATGACCATCGCTTTTACATTCACATATTAATAACAAAATACTTCATTTCAAATGCTCTTGGTTAAAATAAGTAAACTAGGGCCGTTCCTAGATACGAAATTATTAATTCTGTAAGCTACTAGTGAAGTGCCGGATATCTGTATTCGTGAATATCCGAAGAAAAAAGTATCTGTATCCGTATCCGAATTTAAAGATCCGCATTTACATTGTTGTTTTATTTAATCTTTTATTTATTTCTCTAAAATTAAATGTCTAATGTAGAGATATATTAATATTATTGACAGTTGTAAGGTACTATTTGACTATCTTTATGATGAAATCAAACCTCATATCTTTTTTTTTTGTTTAAAGACAACTCCCGTACTAGGAAGATATCCTGTATCGCGGGGGACATTACAAACATACAAAAAACACCTATACTCAGAACAACAATTGTTATCCCTACCTACCTCGATCCGAACCTACAATAGTCAGGTCAGTCGGCGAGGTGATTGCTTAAACCACTTGTTTTGATTGTTTATTAAAATAGTTATAAAAAACAAATTCGCCGCGCAAATCGAAACATATCGTGTTCTTTAACTATTTTTCGAGGATACACTTATATACAACCCGTATTCGTATCCGAATCCGCGGAGATATATTTTTAAAGATCAAGCACATCACTAAATCAGTAAGGACTTAGGTTTGATTTCATACGTATAATATGTATGTATTGAAGAACAAAAACGTTTATTAATGTAATTAAATGAAATTTGTACTAAATTAATATAAATAATATAAAGCGCTATTTAAACCCAAAGTAAACATAACTTGTTCTATGGGTTCTACAACTCGGATAAATATACTTTTTTATGCAAGTACCTACATGTTATGCAAACAAACATGTATCCCACACAAGTGTAAAATACCCGTGTACGTACAAATATTTACACTGAACGGGAATTGAAATGGATTCCTCTGAAGGCTTTAAACGGACACCTTACATTATACAATGTATATTTTTTTGGACCGAAGTTCCTTATCGCGCATGACACGCTCTGAGCGGATGGGAGCGGGACCGAAAAATGTGTAACAAGACTTTTTTTCCGACACTACTTGCTCTTCGGCTTTTTGTTATTAACTTATCCCATATCATACAATGTTTAATTTATCATTATTTATTTTATATAAAATAAATATATTTCATCATATATCTATTTAACTCTATTAACTTGGTGTTTTATAATATAAATTATAATGACTGTATAGCGAACGTCTACCAAAATTCGAAAGGAACTTCGTTCCGACCGGGGTCCATAGACCCCTACGTCGTTTTTGGGTATACCATTTTAGATACCCTTTATGACAGTTGTGGGATCGAGTTGATCGGAATTGAATTTTGACCGAATTTTAATACCAGAAAATTGGCCTCCAGGTCGTACTAGAAACAGAGGTTGTACTAGAACTACAAAATACACAACAGTCAGCCTGTGACTATGGGTCACAGGCTGACTGTTGTGTATTTTATAATTAAATGGTAGGCGAACGTCTAAAAGTAAGTATTTCATCAACATTTTTGGTAACCCGTACTTTCTTTCATAGTCATCCCTCTCTCATAGGAAATATCAGCTTCGTAGGACGATTTGCCAGTACAATTTACAAATTTAAATATCTATAAGATATCTATCTATCAAAAAACACTTTGTATTTATTATTTCTTAAACATTTCTGTAACAATATGTTATTATTACTTACACTCAACAAATTTCAAGTTCTTCTAGAACATTCGATTAATATTGATACGATCCGAAACCCGTTGAGTTTTTTTTTATTTTATGTAAAAAGTGATATGTTGTTAAAACACACACATAACATTTTTGTTTTAATTGACAGTAAGGCTCAATGTTTATAATATTTTTTGTACTATGTTAGTAATAAAAATTATATACAATGTTTTCTTATATAATAAAGAAATTAATTATTAATGTCTAATGAACGGATTGTAATATAATATTTAGCTGCGGGCGAATCAGTTAACTGGTCCCATTATTCCTATACAATTTTACATTCTAACAATTATTATACCAACTATAATAGACAAATATAATTATTACCAATAGAAAATTAACCTAACATTTCTTTTTATTATAATAATAATAATAATAATATTCTACTACATTCACACAACGCCATCTAGTCCCAAACTAAGCAGAGCTTGTACTATGGGTACTAGACAACTGATATAAATACATATATACTTTTTCTTTTTTGTAAATACATACATATTATACATAGAAACACCCAGACCAAATCAAACATTAAATGTTCATGCACACAAATGCTTGACTTGACCGGAAATCGAACCCGCGACCTTTGGAATAGCAGTCCGTTACACCAACCACTACGCCATTCATAGACACATTTTCGGTACTTACTGCATTTATTTTATAATAAATAAAAGCACTAAAAATTAATAGGCATTAAAGACAAGAAAAATAGTATTCTGTAGAAAAAAAATATTGAAGAGAAGAAATTAATGATACATTAAGGTTACTTTTAAAATTTCCCGCTAAAAAGCATCGCATTCGTTATGTCACTAACCGATTAACTGACAGTTCTCTATAGTATAGATAAAAATATGATAGCAACTGACATTTCACAGCTAGTTCATCGGTTAACATAATTATAGGCTAATGACGTGTTGATTTTAAACTGTTTCAATTAGCTCTGATATATTTATTATAGTTTTTGTTGTTTAAAGTTTCAAAACATCAAAAGTAATTGTTTAGATAAGTTGTAACTTATAACATAAAATTGTAATTTCATTTAAACTAACAAAACATATCGCTGTGATGTCTATTTTCAAGTTACTGATATGAGTTCAGTGGCACTGGCAATCTGCGACCATATTTATTACAAATAAATGAAAACTATTTTACATAATGATTTCTTGGAATTACTTTTTAACGAATAACTATAACGCTTTTTTTAATTATAAAAAATACATGCTATGATTGTTAAATAAGAATAGAAAATAATAAAATATAATATTTTTAAACTTTTTAACAGAAGTAGATGGAATAGATATAGATATAATAGAAGAGATAAGTAATTTTTACAAATAGGCCGACTGTAAGTAAAACCCAACAGCAGTTATTTTTAATCTGCAATGCATAGTTTTTAATTTTAGCGTTCCATGGCGTATTAATATGTATTCGTACAGGAATAGGTATTGCATACCTGTGACTAGTCTGGTCGCGTAATTACCGTACTTACTTTCCTTACACATCGTACATCATTAAGGGGGTTGGTTTTAGGATTCAAGAAAGATTTTCTTGACTCTTAGTTACAGCTCGGTTGTTTTTAAATTGTGATGGTTTTTTAATTTTTATAGTCATCAATAGTTCGAGTCATAATAATCTGCACAGAATCCAAGAATATATTGTTCTACTTCTGAATATATCTGTACTTACTTCCTATAAATTAGGATAAATAACTTTGTACCTTAAAATGTTTAAATGCAAATAATATTTAGTGACACTATGTGAACTAATTGACTATTTAGTATACACCAATAGAATAAATACAAAATAACTAAATACTAAATGACAATACATTTGAAACAATACATTTTTGGTTTTTTATTTTTCTAAATTCATTTGCACCTGAATCTAATATTTTGAAACTCGTCTCTTTCTCTAAGATATATAACAGTTAGTAAAATTAAATATTATCTCTAAGTATAAAAATTTATGGTCGTGGTTGCTTGCTCATGACCTTGGGCCTCCTTTATCACTAAAGTATTGGAGACTCTTAAAACTTAAATAGTTAAAAGTCACTTAAGGCATGCGAATGCAAATATTACTCTCAAAATTAACGAGACACATTCGATTGTAACAAACGATAGACATAAAACATGTGCCTAGAATTCTTTTTTTTTAAATTAACTTTGAAAGCCAAACTTATGTGGCTGCAGCACTAGGAATAAAATTATTCCCAATTTGCAAAATCCTAGCTTAAAAATATTCTACAGTCCTTTCGCGTTAAGAAAATAGTGACGCATCGATCAATCCTCACACCCTGACTAATCAGGTATTCAGTAGATTGCTTCTGTATTGTTATTTTGTACCTTATTTTAGGTGGTGATATAAAATATCATAACTTGTGCCAGCCTGTGAGTATGGGCAATGCATCCTGGTCGAAACCTCAGGAAATGCCGAGGAATTGAAAACCTCCTTTCTAAGGAGAGGCCTATGTCCAGCAGTGGACTAGTAAAGACTGTTGATGTGATTGAATATCTATTACTCGTGTTTATTTCCGTATTATTAACAATATTAAACATTAAACGCGAAATTTAAAAATAAATACATATAAAAATGAATATGTTTTAGATAGACACATGTATATTGAGCCCTAATAATATACTATCTTGCAACAAGACAGTATACAAAGAGACTAAACTTTAGTCAATCTCGCTGATCAACAAGTTAGCAAACTTTATGAACATTTGAGAATGTTCTGGAAAACACCTAACAATTCAGATTCATTCCACCATTAAAAAACAGTACTTTCTAACATCCACTTAGAATACCAAGTGGGAAACTTACCAATTATTACAGCTACCAGTAAAAACTATTAAAATAGCACACTTTAAAAATACTAAGAAGCATTTAAATTTGTACTGCAATTAGCACAGTTTTTAACTTGTGTTTCTAGTTGAGCCAATCTCTTCTGCAAATGCATGATCGTCGCGTCCTTCTGTTTCAGCTGCATTTTGAGGGTAGTTATAGAATCTTCTAAAGCCCCATACACGGCTTGAACTTCAGGTTGATAAGTGAACACTTGGGGTGGCTCATCGAGACAGAAGAACTCCCTAACAGTAGGATGGTTGGGCAACATACTTAGTATTGCATTTACGAAAATTTGAAGTCCTCTGACGCGGTCTTCCAGAAACGCAGGCTCGAAATTGTCCCGAAACCACCTTTTGCCTGGTAGAGGGAGCTTTATATTTGGCTGTTCGGCTTTAATTCTGGAATATAGACGAACGAAATCTGTGTAACGACGGAATACCAGCCACGACTGATCACGATTGTCGTCTTCAACCTTTAATTTGTATATTGTGAAGCGTGCTCGTTCTTCCATGATTTCGTAACCGACTATGGGAATTTGGAGGGTTTCAAATTTCTTAATGTCCTCAGAGTGTAAGCTCAAATCGATATTGCTTATACTGTTTTGGATGGTTGTAAAGTCTCTGTAGCTCTCGTTCAAATTGCCCATGCTCTTGTAATGGTTTCGCGTTTGGATATTCCTGGGTCTCGGTTCGAATTCGTTGTCAGAAATGGCTGTATCATTGTACAACTTTTTATATTTAGCGTAGCGTTTCACAGGCGCGTTATTCTCGTCGCTAGAAGTGGAAGACACCTCGTTGTTCATTCCGTCTCGAACTTTCTTTGGATTTTGTACTCTGTCCATTTTTGTACTATATAAAGTTTCTGAAAAAAGAAAACATAATTAAATTATACTGATTTGGATCAGCCATTCCCTGAAAATTACTGAGGCCTTTAAAAAGGTAAAATGACGAGTAAAATGAGAAAATAAATTGCTAAACTATCAACCTCTGCTTGCCATTTCTGATGAATTCCTAAAGTAGTAAAGAGGTTTTCCTGAAAAGGATTTCCTTTTATCATTACCGCACCCCACTAGCACTACCCTACGAAACATTTCTGATTGATTTGAATACTACAAAAGCATCTGTTAAGCAGCTTAATGCACAGGAATAATACATAAACACAGCAAGTATAGTAAACCATTTTTTGACTATTTAAATATTATCCTTGGATTAAACGAACACTATCATGGCGATTCTTGAAAACTATAGTCGTGACTAAATGAGATCATCTATTTCCCATTCTGATTCATGTTGTTCTGGGTCATAAACTGCTCTTGGCCACTTCTCTAACGGAAATAACACTTGGTTAAATGGGTTATGTATAAGTTCGGTTACTAACTATCGATCTTATGATAGTAGACAATGAATTAATGACGATTGAATTTGGACCGTTTTGAATGTCTTATATCAACGATCAGTTTTATTTTTAAACTGCCTCGGTGGTGCAGTGATAGCATATGCGACTGCTGTGCTGAGGTCTCAAGTTCGATTTCCGGGTCGGACCAAATGTTTGTATTATCTGAAAATTTTTGTTTCAGAGTTTGGGTCTTTTCTATGTATAATACTCGTATGTATATATTCACAAAAAAAAGTTTATAAGTATTATATCAGTCAATCTAGTTTTCATAGTACAAGCTCTGGTAAGTTTGATACTAGATGGCATATCCTATCTGGCCTATCATACTGGGCTAACATAAATAGGAGCCGAGCATCAATGAAAAATGTTACAAAAACGGGGAAAATTTATTCTTTTTGAGATACACAAACGAAGTCAGATAGTTGACTGAGTGACTGACTGCACGGATGGCGTAGCAGTCGTTTACTGCGCTGAGTGTTGTGAGTGCAAACCCCACATGGGACGACACTTTGTGTGATCCACAAATTGTCGTTCCGAGTCTGGGTGTTCTTTGTGTCCGTTTCATGTATGTTTGTAAAGTCCCCGCGACGAGTTTATCCCACGCGACACAGGATATATTCCTAATGCGGGACTTATCTTTTATAAAAAAAAGTTATAGATAAATTACACCCAAACACAAAATAAATTATCGCACCTAACACTCAAACTCAAACTCAAACTCAAACTTTCTTTATTTCATAAAATTTTCAAAATTGTTTGAAATCGTCTTCCATGTAGACTCTAAAGTCATAGATCAACACACACAAAAGCAACAATCTCTGTTTTGTCAAATAGTAACCAAATAAATTTAACAAAATCAAACCCATACAAAATCTATGCCTGTGCCGATCTACAACCGCCCGTTTCCAAGGGGTTGAGCCTTATGAGAAGAAAGGGCAAACAAACTCATGGCCACTCTTTTGCAATTCACAAGTAGATACAATGGCACTATTAAATATATCACAACATTGTTTTGATGTGTGCTAGTATGTCCGTTATTAAGGACTTAAAGGTGAAAAAACAAGGAAGAGAAAACAAGATTAAGAAGAACAAACGAATACAAGAGAAAATAAAGTGAAACATAAAAAATAGAAAAAATAATAAAAACATACTAGCCACACCACATTTTTACTTAAGAAAGAAATAGCCTGCGCTAATTAATCCCAAGCATTCTTGTCCTCCATGTAATCCACAATCGAGTAGTAGGCCCTCTGGCACACAATTATTTGTATGATAAGCAGCTGTGTGGTAATCAAAACCAATCAGAGCTTATCAGTCAAGATCACTGATTACTGGACCAACGGCCCAGTCAGTCAGTCAGTCATATGGCTCCAAAAGTACAGATATTGTTGTGATACTTAAATACCTGCTCCACTTTCTTTATACAATGATATAAAGCACTTTCTTTAGAAAGCGTCTCTAATTAAATTCCGTATTTAAGTAATTGTTTTGAGAAATATTAAAATATGTTTGCATAATTATACTGTAATTTTTTAATTATATATATTATAGTGTAATGATCATAGACACAACACTATAACATTAGCATTTCCGTAGCAAAAAATAAATGCTTTCAACTTAAACTAACTAAAATAAACAATTCATTTCACAACATTTTTTTATTTATTTCCAAGACCATTTTAGAACTTCCGTTCAAAATAATTAACCTTGTGATTCAAAGATATTATACACATATATTTTAAAAAAATCTAAATCATTTTGGAATCATATAATGAACACAACCTAATAAATATAAATGAGCCTTCAAGAAAAGAGGGTAATGGTTCCTTAAAGGCCGGCAACGCACTTATGACTCCTGGGTTTTAGATGTTCATGGGTGGCCGTAGTCACTTGCCATCAAGTGACGGGTCTGCTTGTTTGCCGCCTGTGGCATAAAAAAAAACCTCAAAACAGAGCAGTATGTCTGTCTAAGAATCTATGCGGTTTCCAATATATACCTGCATTGATTATACAAGTGGAAAACAATTTCTCCCCTGAATCCGCCAATTGGGGGTCATGACGTTCGTATATTTATAAATAGACAATGACATTGGAGCTTTTCTATTTCTAGTTTATTTTTCTAGTATTCAGACATAATTGGGGCTTTATTTAGGGGCGAAAAATTCGTCCCCTTTCACTTCACGTGTAACGAGACGGTGTGAAAGGTGACAATTTGTTACTCTTAGGGGTGGTATTATTAAAAATACTTTTTGAGTGCACACCTACGTCACCTAAGGAACATTTGTACAAAATTACTTGCTTCTATACCCAGCGGTTTCAGCCTATCAGTTTCTTCTTTTATTGATATACATTATTAGATTCCAATAACTACAATTTAATTCTCAGCATTAAATAAAACAGGAGCAATATATGTCTACATCCATTTCACTAACTGGACTCTCTTGAGACAACTCTAGCTACGCCCCTGCATAGTGTATCATGTTTAATAACAAAAATCTAATGAAATGCTTTGTGAAAAAATATGTATATCTAAAGTAATAAAGCACTAGCATGCATTATCCGGTAGACAGATATCGCAGAACAACCTTCAAGCCAATTTAAATTCAATAACTTACTCTGCTTGACGTAAATAGAAGTTTAAATCCAACAATGGCTAAAGCATATTGTACATACACATACACAAAACTTTTATTAAATAATCACTGTATGACTATAGCACCATATTTTGTAACACAAATTGAGCAAATATTAAATGTAAAGCCTATGTTGTCAAATCTTCTTCAACAAAACGATTTTAGTAAACAATAGTTTTGTAAACTCGAATGTCGTCAATGTCGACATTTATGAAAATTACAATTAAATTTGACGTTTAATGTCATTGAAACGTTTTCTTTTAGTGTTGTTTAGTCTTGTGCTTAATCGGACATCTGCAGGTTCGCACCGTACTAGTACAATTCGTACAACGTACTAGCGCACCGTAATAGTACTATTAGTACAGTTTTAGTAGAAGTAGAAAACTTAAGCGTATGTATTGATATTACCAATATTAATGAAACGGAATACCAATAATTAAATAAATTAAAATACGTAATTTAAAAAAAAAGTTATAGTTTTTTTTTAAATATAGATGTAGTAGGCAGTTACTTTTCTTCAGTATAGAAATAATTACACAGTTCTTGATTATTTTTAATGTGTTATCCCTTTCTGAATCCCATAAACCCTAACTTAACCCTAAGTTTGACTTTTAAATGCGATTTTTTAGATTACTTTACACTAAATTTTTAAGCATACTATTTAATTTTCCTTCATACTTTACAACCCAACGCATCGTAGTACATCCTGTATCGCTGTCCCTTTTACTCTCACACTGTTTACCAATACGGAACAATAAAGCGGAGCATTAATAGTACGTCGCACAGCAAACGAACGTAGACACTAGTAGACAGAGTAAATAATAGGTAGTTTTAGTATTGGCTTGAAGTTGACACTGTGTACTTATAGTGCAAAATGTCCGATTAACAGCTGCCTTTCGGAAACATCACTTTTAGTACAATACCCAGTACTAGTACCTATCGGTACATCGTACGTGTACTACCCAAGACTAGTGTTGTTGCTCTACCGAGTGTGAGTTGCACGTTTCACCTTTTAGCAATAAAAAAAATACTTTATTCTTAATATTATTTTATAAAACAATTTTATTATTAAGTTAAAGAGAAAAACTATCAGTGAAACTTTTATTTTAGTAAAGCTAATATATAAAATACAACATGATGCAAATTGAGGTGTGGTAATTTATTTTATCAAACTAAGTCTCGCCTTATTACTAAAAATAGTAAGGGATTGTGGACCTAGAGCTAGTAATTTCTATGCGTATCGTATTGGGGTACTATTGAGTAGAATAGATACCTGAACCAAGAGTATGTTTTTGATTTCTTCACTGATACTTTCTTTGTGTGTAAAGTATTTTACTAAATTAGAATGTATAGTTAATAAGGTTCTGTTTTATGATTAAGATATGACCTCAATTTCCTAATATAAGATATTTTTTATAATTTTTGCTTTTTTTATCTTTCTTAAAAATTTGTGTAAATCAATGTTGATGGCTATATCTACAGAGGTTTTATCAAGGATCTGAGTCAGATGCTTTCAGATGTTTTAGTAATTATTTTATCTGTGACCGCGGCCTGCAATAACGTTATGTTTATGTCTTATATGTCAATTCAAATAAATAAATAAATATCGAGTTAAGTTTTATTGCTGTAATGATAGCACAGAAAGAATTTCTCTCTTGATTTAATGATACTAATGAAACTGTAGTTAGTAGTAGATAGTAATTTTGCAGAATGTCTCAAAGTGTGCAAATGGATTGCGAAGACTCAATAAATCTATATTTAATACCAAAAGCATTATTTTGTATTTGCTGTTTAGAACAAACTGGGCCATACGTTAAACTGGGGGCATGTTCTCACAGAGAATATTTGGATTCTTTTCCAATACCTGTAAGTCATGTTGACTTGCTGACGTGGTTGTTGAAGTGGTTAGTGATCCTAACTGTTAAGCCGGAGGTTGTGGATTCGATTCCCAACCAGGATATATATTTTTGTGACGGGCGTGGTCTTCTTTCTGAGTTAAATTAATTTATCTATAATATGTATGTTTATCTGCAGTCTGGTTACGAAAGTACAGGCTAGACGGATGTGTGTGTAACTTTTTTGAAGGATTTTTGAGTCCAGTCTCCGGTTATGTGTGTGTATATATATACACATATATAAATGGTAAGTTGGTGTGTGCACACTTCAAAAACGCAAAAAGTTCTGCACCAAATGAGCTCAAATTTTGACACGATATACAAACTTCTTCAAGGATTATTTTTAACTACTTTTTGCATCAGATTTGTTCTTCGTTTCTCCTCTATGCAACCACATAAAGACACAGTGTGGCAGGTATAGTGAGTATTTCATATATTTTAATGTACTTACAGGTTATTTCGTCAGTGCCAGAGACAGTGTGCTACAGTTGTCATGGTACACTTAAAAAAATTGCTCAATTTAGACAGCAGGTACAACAAAGTTTCAATTTGTTGGAGAAGAAGGTAAGATCTTCTTTACTACAGAAAAGAAACAAACAGACAGACAACCGAGAATACTGATTCCTAAATTAAGTTTAAATAATTTTCTATAAAAGTGTGGGATGCTTTTCAAGATATTTTATACTAAATAAATAAATTTGAAAAAAAAGCCTTGGGTGCCTGTTGTCAATAGTAAAAAGCACCCACGCTTTTTGGTTTTCTATAAAAAGCGTGTTTTTTAGTTTTTTTAAACAATTTTTTTTTAAATTAGTGTATTGTCATCGTGCCTCTATATATCTACAAAGTTTGAACTAATTCTGACCGTTTAAAGTCAGTCAAAATCACGCCCAAAGGAGTCGGTTAGAAACTAACATATAAGTGAATCTAATATAAAGCGTGTAAAATCATTCTTAAAATAACTTGAAACAATACTAACAAAAAGAACTAAAAACCTAGTAGTAATTGTGGTTGATTCACTATCATTTTTTTAAGAGTTCTGTTATCCATCTCCAAAACTCATCATCAGATCTATATGAAGCTTATCCCTTTTGAACAAAAATAGAATCTTGAAATTCCGTCTATATATGACAGACTTATGCCGGAACAGACAAAAAAAACTTTTTGAAGTTGGTTGAAGATATAATTGTGAGAGAGCCTTGCTTCAGGACATGGAGTGATACTAGACTCTCACAGAATACTGGTTTTAGGCAATTCTTATGTTGTTTTTCCTCCAGTAAGGTCACATAAGCCAATCCTCCCCCCCTCCCCCCAACTGTTCCTAGGGCGGAACCCAAACAGTGGCAACAAGCACTTGTGTCAGTTGTTCATGGGAGGTAGTAATAACTTGCCATCTGGTGACCTGTCCGCTTGTTTGCCACCCTCAACCATAAAAAAGCCACCTCAAATTTAAGCTTTTTGGCACAATACTACTCTCACTTAATAAGATTCCTTCATGTTAATTGTATATTGTTTACTAGCTTTCGCATGGAATTTAAAAACACGCTGCCTTACTGGGTTCGATTCCCAGACCGTGCAAAATTTTTACGGGTTTTTTTGAGAGGAAGAATAGCCTAAGTTACTCCCTATACAAACAACTACAAGTTAGTAAAATTCGGTCTAATTAAAAATCGGTCGGTTTAATTTAAATTAAAAACAAAAACATTTTAAACTGGTTTTAAGGCATAGATATCATGCAAATAATTTATTTAAAAATTATCAAAATAACTCTTGATAAATCTTACAAATATTATAAAGTCGAAAGTTTGTATGGATGTTTGTAATTCTTTCACGTAAAAACGGCTTAACGGATCTGGATGAAATTTGGCACAAAGATAGATTATAGCCTGGAATAGCACATAGGCTATTTATATCATATAAATGTAGTGTTCCCGTGGGAGGAGCAAACAATGATACAATAACAACTGAAGGCAACACCGCGGGACGCATCTTATTATACATACGAGTATAAACTTTATGCTTTCAGATCGAAAGTTTAGAAAATATTACTAGTAGCAAAAGAAATCTGACGATATCAAAGACTCGTCTTTTAAATACTCCAGAATTAAAAAAACATGTAAAAGAAGAACCAGAAAATAAATCAGATTCAGTAACGAAGATGAAAAATAATAGAACAGCATTGGAAATTCTGAATAATAATACCAACTCTCTGTCATCACTAACTTCTTATCAAAATTTTATAGGTTTAACTGAATCTCTACTAGAAGTAACAAGCAATCATTTTAATTTGTCTTTAATTAGCACACCACTGCCTCCTGAATCTAATATAGAAAAAAAAAACTCAGGCCCCTATGGTACACCCGTGTTGCCAGATGAAATAAAACAAGAACCTGAAATGGAAATTGTATCTGATCCAATAAGTTTAGCTGTAAACATTGACGTTAATTCAAAAGAAAGCAGAATAAAAAAAGAAAATGAAATAGATATTGTTGATGAAACACTTGAAAGAATATCACATAATCATGAAGATAATAATGAAGATCCTTATACCATGAAAGATTTAACTTACGATAGTGTTGTATTCCCAGAATATACGTATAAAAATCGAGAAATTCAAAATGTCTCCGAAAAAAGTAATTTATCCATAAACAATAAACACATAGAAAATAATAACAGTAAAACGTCAGTGTTACCAAAGGAAAGTAAAATGGAATGTGATGATGTTACTTATGGTAAAATTATGTTGCCAGATGGGATTAAAGACCATCCAGAAAAGTTAGATGATAGTTTGACAACAATAGAAAATTGTTTAGGTGAAATTTGGCAAAAAGAATATAACACAAGATCTCCTGAAAGCAGTAGTATTGTAAATGGTAAGTGAATAATGTAAAACGTAATAATAATTCCGCCATCTGACTCCAAAATAGGAAGTGGCTGTGCTATGACAATCAGACCACTGATAAACATACTTATATATTTCTAAAACATACATATAAAAAATAAATTACACCCATATATGTACAGGAAAAATCATTGTGCTCATCACATAATATTGGTCCTGAGTGGGAATCTAACCCACGACCTCTTAGCAGTCAGGGTCACTAACCACTAGACCACCAGGCTCGTCAAGCCATGTTAGTTACCAGTTACATCAAGTTAGTTATGTATGTGTTCAGTGTGTACAATAAAGAATAAATAAATAAATAAATCTCTTTGTTACGTGTGAAAACTTCATCGAGCCTTCATCGAAACTCATTATCTCTGGCTAGCAGTCAGTAGGTTTTGCTAACTACTTGACCAACAGGCCAGTCCTTGCTGCCATTCTTATTTCCTTCATCATCCTCCGAACCATTTCCCAAACTAGGTCGGCTTTCAGTCAACTAGGACACGTCTGAACCTTCATTTCTTACTTGGAGCGAGTGCCATCAGACCTCTACAACCCAAGTACTAGACGAAATCGGAAGTTCTGTAGACAGACTGTTGTCGGACTTTTTAGGGCTCCAATTAATTTTTATCATTTAATTCTTGCTCTATGGTTAAGAATGATCTCCCATCCTTAGACTGACCTAATTATTGCCTGCACTTATTGTAAAAGAAAAAAATAAACAATTGTAATCTCTTTCTCCACAGATGGCTATAGTCAACGCAAAAGTCGTTCTTCCCTATGTCTCATTCCTATAAAGTTAAGTAAGAAAGAGTTGGAGGCTGAAAGACAGGAGAAGTTGAATTCTAGTGAGTTTCGACTCATGGAGTACCGATGTCGACATTGTATTACAGGATTTCTGTTTAAAGAGAACTTGAATGACCACATCAAGAGGAAACATGCTAGGGTAAGTGCATCGCCACCCAGATTTAGGGGCAAGGGGGGAAGGCGTTGTTTCTCTGGTAACTTACAAAGTTACCTTAGTTACTCGGTGAAAACTAACGAAAAAATTGCATAGCAGCTGTTTTCTGCGAAGCCGTTGTATCACTCCCCCTGACCAATCAGGTTCTAAGAAATTGTCGTTTTGTACCTTTTTTTTTTTTTTTTTTTTTCCGTGCGGAAATCCCCTCGGTGTCGGTGTCCTGTCGGTGGCATGTCGGACACGAACCGACTAAAACCGCACGCCTTCCCGGCTACTAATGTCGTTTTGTACCTGATAGGTCGACGCGGGGATTGATCGATTCGTCAATATTTTCTTAACCTGAACGGACTATAGACATTAATATTATTACTGACAAGTTTTTGCTTGTTGCTATAAAAAGTAGCCTATGTCCTTCCTCAAGAATCGAACTATGTCCATACTAAATTCCATCTAAATCGGTTTAGCGGTTGATTCCCAATACTAACTTCCACCCCCTTTTCACCACTTAAAGGACGATTTCTAGGATAAAAACTATCCGCGACTGTAACTGTCTCTATACCAAATTTCGTCTAAATCGGTACAGCGGTTTAAGCGGGAAGAGGTAATAGACAGACCGAGAAATTAACTACACGGATGACGTAGTGGTTTAAGCGGTCGCCACGCCGCTTCCTATTACGCTGAATGTTGTGGGTCCGATCCTCACATGGGACGACACTTTGTGTGATCCACAAATTGTCGAATCCACAAATCCTCAATTGAGTCTAGGTGTTCTTTGTGTCCGTTTCATGTATTTATGTAAAATCCCCTGCCGAGAGACAGTTGTCTTTTAAAAGAGGTAGACAGACACACTTTCGGATTTATAATATTAGTGGGGATTATGATATATACTTAAGTTATTTTCTTTCAGAAAGATCCCAAAACCCACGTGACGTGTGAAATTTGTCGTCAAGTGGTTTTATGTAAGGACGCTCGAGAGCACAAGCTTAGACATTATAACAGGTAAGCCATACACCTATCCTGACAAAAGATCTGCGAGAACACGAGCAGCAAAAATACTTTGTGAAATTAACCGATGATGTAGTCTCAGTATAGGAGGTGTATACGAAGTAAATATGGATGGAGGTAGGAAACAGATAGGAATCACAAGAATATTTAAAATAGCTGTATAGTATTAATACGTAAAATATTTATAGTAAAAATATGCAAAGTGAAGGTATATATAGTGGAATATGTATAGTAAAAATATATGTATAGTAAATATATATATTAAAAATATGTATGGTAAAATACGTATATTAAAAATATGTATAGTAAAAATATGTATAGTAAAACATGTACAGTAAAATTATGTATAATAAAAATAGGTATAGTAAAAATATGTGTAGTAAAATATAACCAGTAAAAATATCTGTACTAAAAATATGTATAATCCCACAAGGGGGGGTATAGTGTAAACTAGATATAGAATAAAAAAATAGCCATAAGATATATAAGGTCCCGGTGTATCCTTGACTGGGGAAAAGCGACAAAAAGACTTGGCGACCCTGGACTTAGGAACTACATTGACTTGCAACCTGAATGGCACCTTATTATTTTGGTGGTAGAGTCATAAATTAGACTGCACGGATGGCGTTACCTCGCCGCTGCCTACGGCGCTGAGAGATGTGGGTTCGATCCCCACATGAGACAACACTGTGTGATCCACAAATTGTTGTTCTGGGTGGTCTTTGTAAAGTCATGTATGTTTGTAAAGTCCTCCGCGACACAGGATATCAGTATTCTTCAGTAGACATGGGACAAAATAAAAAGACGTGTGGCACTCGGGGACTGCCGCGGTAAAGCTATTGCATAGCATTTTGTATCAGCTTATGCAATTATAATTATTTATTTATTTTATTTATGCAGTATTTCTTTTTCTTTGATATTAATTCAAGTTACACTTTTTGAGCGTGGTGACCGATAAGAAAACAATTTTTTTTCTTTTATTAAATAAAAATATTGAAGCATATATTACAATTTGTTTTTAAATAAATAAATAAAATAAAAAATATTATTATTAAATCAAATTACATATCCATGTAAGATTTTTCTGCATTATGTTGACGAAATTTCCTTTGATTTCAGCATTTGATTTTGGTACTGTTTTTTGTTTTGTTTTTAGCGTGAGGTTTTTTTTCGTTACGGAGTTTCTGGATTCGGTCCTTGCGCTCAAGGCCCTCGATAGAAGCTATGCAATAGCTTAACAGTGAACTTTGATTTATCATTCGATTTTTGCGTACGTAGGTTAGGGTTGCTAGGTAGGTAGGTTAGACGCTATTTAACAGTAAATCTAAGATTTATTTAATTTTATTATAATTATTAATTTTATTATAATTATTAATTTTATTATAATAGATTTAATTATAATGTAGGGGTAGCCCTACATTATAATTAATTTATTTCATTCCCTCTTATCCTCCTCTTATATCCTGAGAAGTAGGGATGGGACAAAATTACAGTGAACCGGGAACCTATTGGTGGTATACGACCATCGGTGAAAATAATTACTTAACAGCGATTTCCTGTTAGGTCCTGGTATCACTCCTCACCTGTTCACTAGGGCGGCTCCGTTTCGATTAGTCAGTTGCTGCACCCCATCTCCCTTTCCTTAATAACACAAGTTATACCTACCTGATACCTTGACAGCAGGGCGTCTCCGATTTATATTGTATTCTGTTGTGTCCTTTTCTTTTAGGCTTGAATGTAAGATATGCAAGAAACGGTTCGTTTTGTTCGACGAGGCGTATGACCACTACAGCAGTGCGCACACGCCTTTAAATAATAAAAAAAACATCAACCGTCAGTTGGAGTCATATATACGATCGAAGAGGCTTCAAGCTAAAAAGAAAAGTGTTAACAAGGTATGTATGCGCCACAGAACATAAATTAAAAAGTATTTACACACATTAAATAATAAATTACATAATACAAAAATTAAATAATAAAAAAGGTTATTTAGAGTTCCGTAGTCATTTTATTCACGGGCCTGACTGCTAAGCCGGAGGTCGTAGGTTAGGTTCCCATCCAGGACAAATATTTGTGTGATCGTTTGTTCTGTGTCTGGGTGTTTATTTAGAAATATTTAAGTATGTTTATCAGCAGTCAGGTTACCATAGTACAGGCTCTGCCCAGTTTGGGATCAGACTGCTGCGTGTGAGACGTGTTAGGTTATTATTATTATTATATACGAGGGGTGATCAATAAGTAATGATAATCGAGTATTTCTAGAACGCACAAAAACCCAAATTATTTTTTTTCTGCTTGCTTATATATCCACTACTTCAGCTTCAAAAAAATGTATAAATAGGACACCATTACCGGGAGATACATTCATTTGAATACGAACTGTCGAAGAGAAAACATCAAAAATGAGAAAAATGAAATAAGAGCTGTCATCAAGTACCTCTGCCTGAAAAAAATGTCTACCAAAGACATACACAGCGACTTAGAGGAAACATTGGGGGAGTCTGCGCCTCCATATTCCACAGTCGCACGCTGGGCAAAGGAATTTAAGCTGGGCAGAACCTCCACTGAAGATGAACATCGCGAGGGACGCCCTTCCACGTCCCTTACTGGAGAAAACGTCAAAAAAGTGGAAGATATCGTGTTGGCCGATCGAAGGGTGACCGTAAGGCATGTAGCTGAGGTCACAGGGATCTCCTATGGCAGCGTTCAAAAAATCATTGTCAACAAAATGCATATGAAAAAGGTCTCTGCGCGTTGGGTACCGAGAATGTTAACCGACGAGCAAAAAAAGAAACGAGTCGACATTTCGAGGGTGAATCTTCAAAAGTTCCAGGCCGATAAAGATTTTTTTTTGTCGTGTTTTGTGACCATGGACGAGACCTGGATCCACCACTTTGATCCCGAAACCAAACAACAATCAATGACTTGGAAAAGAGCTTCCTCACCAACGCCGAAGAAATTCAAAGTGTCAAGTTCAGCGGGAAAGGTTATGGCGTCTGTTTTCTGGGATGCAGAAGGAATTATTATGGTGGAATATTTGGAAAAGGGGGCCACTATAAAAGGCTCTTACTACGCAGGCCAAATAAGAAGATTGCGAGAAGCTATTAAGTCAAAAAGACGCGGTAAACTGCGCGCTGGAGTGCTGTTTCACCAAGACAACGCCCCGGTTCACAAAGCCGCAGTTGCGATGGCTGCCATTGAAGAAACGGGGTTCGAACTGCTCGAACACCCTCCCTATTCGCCAGATCTAGCTCCCAGTGACTTCTACCTCTTTCCTCGGCTCAAAGAACACCTCCGGGGTAACAAATTTGAGGACAATAGTGAAGTGATGGCCGCAGTAGAGGCATTTTGGGAGGGTCAAGACAAAGAATTTTTTTCTAAGGGAATCATGGGCTTAGAAAAAAGATACACTAAATATATTAACTTGCAAGGAGACTATGTTGAAAAATAAAATATTTTTTTTAATCTAATAGTTCTGTTTCATATTGATTATCATTACTTATTGATCACCCCTCGTATATATAAGTAACAAGGAAATGTCATGTACAAAGGCGAGCTTAACCCAAAACTGAGTTTTTTTCCAGCAAACCTTGAGCGAATAGAGGACAACAGAGAAACGTAAGAGCACAGTCATGCGTACTTAAACGCCCACATCTTGCAGCTATAGTTTCCACTCCCACTCACGTTATAGAGCGCAATCTATTGTCCAAGCCCTAAATAAACATATACTTATATATTTATAAATACATTCATAACTATACTAATATTATGAAGCTGATTATTTGTTTGTTTGGTTGAGGTCGCCAATCTCAGGAACTACTGGTTCGAATTGTAAAATTATTTAATGTTGGATGGTACATTTATCGAGGAAGTCATATAACATCACGCTACGACCAAAAGGTGCGCGGATTTTGAAAATTACACTCAGACACAGAACAAATGATTGTGCTCATTACACAATTATTTTTATATATGTATGTAATAAATCATCATCATCATCATCAACAGCCTTTAATAGTCCACTGCTGGACGCTGGACATAGGCCTCTCCTTAGAAAGAAGAAATAAAAAAAAATCGGTTGTCTGTAAAGTCGGTTTACTGACGATAGTTGAACGTGACAACGTCATTAGAAAATACTGATGGAATGGTTGCATTTTTCAAAAATGTATTATTGTATACGAGTAGCAGCTGTCCACGCGGACGCATCGCTCACTCAAGTAGGAGAGAGACAGATGTCGAACGCTGCCGAACGCGGAGGCCGATTGTGCCTCTTTGTCACTCGTTCCGCGCTCTCGCTTGCACTTCACGCCTTAAATGGAACGCCTCAGAGCGAGGTAACGCCGCATGAGTCATGTTTTTTCGTGCGTGCAGCCGGCTCCATCGAATTATAAGACGTTGTCACCTCAAAAAGACGTGTGGCACTCGGGGACTGCCGCGGTAAAGCTATTGCATAGCATTTTTTATCAACTTATGCAATTATAATTATTTATTTATTTTATTTATGCAGGATTTTTTGCTTCCTATGTTTTTTTTTTTCTTTGATATTAATTAGATTGCGGGGCGAAGAGGGGGATTACGCATGCGCAGTAACGCCGATACAACCAATGCCACCTAGAGGCGAGTTACTGAACTAAAGAGACAAGCGTGATATTTCAAAAAAGTCATTAAAAGTTCTGCTATTCATCAATAGATGGCAAAACTAAAAAGTATCACGTGGGGTGTGTTAGGTTATTTTCGTTACGGAATTTCTGAATTCGGTCTCCACGCTCAAGGCCCGCGATAGAAACTATGCAATAGCTTAATAACAAATACCTAAACTGTTTGTACATTGTATATCTTACACTTTAATGTAACTATCATGCTTCTTGTAAAATGGTGTACAAATAAAGAGTTCTATCTATCTATCTAAATGTTATTAATTCAATAAATATTTAATTGTATAATAAATAGCATTCTCAGTGTTCGATATTTTCAAATATCGTTATATAACCGTATTTGTGTTTTTTTTTAAATAATAAAATGTCAATTTTACCTTTAAAATAATAATCTTTTTATTGTATCTGTTTCAGTCAATTACTGGTACTACGATAGAAGGGGGTAAAACGGATGGCACAGAATCTTTGCCAGAGTCATCATGTTCGAAATAAATACATTTCATTAAAAATAGCAGTTTTATTTTATTTATATTTATAAACATTAAATTGTTTTGTTTTGTGGCGAGTAGGCGAGTAGGCGAGTAACCCCTATGCGTTAGGACGTAGCACCAGATCATACGATCTACGTCACATATGGCGTGATGTTCTCGACATGTAGGGGATAAGTACAGTAAGCCCCGCCTACAGCAAGATGACCGCCCATTTGCTATTATACTACCAGCGCGCGCGCAATATGGTCGACGCACATCTTTTGTTGTACGGCATACGCCCACGTTCAAAAAGTGCTAGGACCGAACCTTTTCTATGTTTATTATTGTTAACTATTTTCGTGTATAAATACTGTGTCGCATTGTGTGAGAAACCATTCCGACTTTTGTTATCGTCTTGGTACAAAAATAAAGAATTGTTTACGTGTTGCTCAAGTCCTTTGATTATTAATAACAAGCCGATACTAAGCAAATATCCTTCGCTTCGCTAGCATTATAAAATTATCAAATTTATTATAAATAACTGAATTAGGATAACAAGCTGTCAACAGTCCAGTGGTTCGGACGCCGACTGCACTGTGATAGAAGGGAGTTCGATTCCAACCTAATTCACTTCACTGGTGACCCACGACAACTAGTATTCTTTGAGTTTATTACTATACTATAACTCGAAACTAGTAAATTAGAAACATGCCGCTTACTGGGGAAGAGGCAAACAAGGACTTCTTTATGGCCTACCGTGTCGGAGTGAAGGTACCGGTGTTCAACGCTGATGATCCGCTGCTGTGGTTCGCACAATTGGAAGGACAGTTTACCCTTTCCAATATCACTACTGACTCCACGAAGTTCTACTACGTGCTGGCACAGCTAGAACCCCAACATTCAGCAGAAGTACGAGACCTTATAGTATCTCCGCCCGCAACTGATAAATATGAGAAGCTGAAGACAGAGCTGATCAAGAGGCTATCGGCATCGCAAGAGCGCAAAATAAAACAACTGCTTATGCATGAGGAGCTCGGTGACAGAAAGCCCACACAATTTCTTCGCCACCTACAACAACTAGCTGGACCAACTGTTCCTAACGATTTTATCAGGTCAATTTGGTCTAGCAGGCTTCCGGCGAATCTTCAGACCATAGTAGCCATGCAAGCCAATTCAAGCTTGGAAGATGTAGCAGAGCTAGTCGACCGTATAAACGACATCGTACCAGTTACTGGTCAAGTCGCCACTAGCATGCCAGTAACCGGACAAGTAGCAACTGCACAGTCGGCTATGAGCAGCAGAGGAGGAGCACAGGGTAACACTATTGACGCTCTAACGCAAGCTGTGACCGAACTGACTCGCAAGATGGAACGCATGAATACCGAACTACAAAGAGTACAGCGTTCTCATAGCAGAGGACCCAGAGGAGGTGGAAGTCGTTCCCGGTCACGTTCTAGACCCAGAGATCATCCTTACTGCTTCTATCACTACTGGTTTAGAGATCGAGCTCGCAAGTGCACACAACCTTGTACCTACAAAACAACAAAGTCGGTAAACTACCAAGGCAGCCATTAACGGCGGGACAAGACTGCCTAGCAATATCAAGCCGCCTGTTCATTACGGATCTCAAGACAAAAATACAATATCTTATAGATACGGGTTCGGACCTGTGCGTATTTCCGAGATCCGCTGTTCGAGAGCGTCGTACTACAACAGAGTACAAACTATTTGCAGCCAATGGGACAATAATAAACACATACGGTTTCATCTCTCTCACTCTGGACCTAGGACTTCGTCGCGCATTTTCTTGGCGATTCATCGTAGCTGACGTGACAAAGCCAATTATCGGTGTCGACTTTTTAGCTTACTACAATCTATTAGTCGACTGCCGAAACCAGCGTTTAATAGACAATCTCACTACGCTAATGGTCCGTTTACCTCAACACCAATCCACTGAAGCCATATCGTCTGTACGCACTTTTATAGACGGTAGCGACTACCACCACCTTCTGAAGGAATTTCCAGACCTTACACGTCCAGCGGGTAAGCCAAGTACTCCTAAACATAATACAAAGCACCACATTCGCACTACGCCTGGAACGCCAGTCTTCGGGCGTCCACGTCGTTTAGACCCTGCCCGGCTAAAGATAGCGAAGAAGGAGTTTGAAGAGATGCTGTTGAATGGTACTGCACGTAAATCGGAAAGTGCCTGGTCTTCACCACTTCACCTGGCGCGCAAGAAGAACGACGGTTGGCGTCCATGCGGAGACTATCGCTCACTCAACGCACGTACGATTCCCGACCGATACCCTATTCGGAATTTGCAGGACTTTACACATCAGCTGGCAGGTACTTCAGTATACTCTACCATAGACCTGGTAAAGGCATACAATCAAATACCGGTCGCAGAAGAGGATATATCCAAGACCGCCATAACCACACCTTTTGGCTTATACGAATTCCCATTCATGACGTTTGGTCTTCGAAATGCCGCTCAAACGTTCCAGCGATTCATGGATGAAGTTCTGCGTGGGCTGGACTTCTGCTACGGGTATCTCGATGATATCTTGGTCTTCAGCAGCAGCGCCACCCTTCATCAGCAGCATCTACGAAAGCTTTTCGAAAAACTATCAAAATTTGGAGTCCTACTCAACACAAACAAGTGTGTTTTTGGTCAGAAAGAGGTAAATTTCTTGGGATTTAAAGTTTCAGCTAGCGGTATTCAGCCCCTGGATACGAAAGTTCAGGCCTTACATGACTTTCCAGCTCCCAAAACCGTCAAAGAACTGAGACGATTCCTTGGAATGCTAAATTTCTACAGGCGTTTTATACCAGCTGCAGCTTCGATACAGGCGCCACTTCATAGCCTCTTGACAGGTCCGAAGATTAAAGGATCGCACCCAGTTGTCATGACTGAGGAACTACTGGTAGCTTTCGAAAGATGTAAGCATAGTTTATCCGAGGCCACACTCCTAGCACATCCTGACTCGCGAGCAGAGTTAACTGTGCAGACGGACGCCTCGGACACAGCAATTGGAGCAGTTTTGCAACAACGCAATGGTGAAGAATGGCAGCCACTCGCATTTTTTTCGAAGAAACTGAGCCCTTCACAAAGAAAGTATAGCCCTTACGACCGCGAGCTTCTGGCTATTTATGAGGCTATACGATATTTCCGGTTTATGGTTGAAGCTCGAGTTTTTTTCATTAGTACGGACCATAAACCACTAACGTTTGCATTTGCCACTCATCGTGAAAACTGTTCTCCCCGGCAGTTTCGATACTTAGACTTCATTAGCCAATTTACGACTGATATAAGATTTGTGGCCGGTAGGGATAACATTGTAGCTGATACTTTATCACGTGTCAGCGCGGTAAATCAAACGTTAGACTATACATCCTTGGCTAAGGAGCAGAAAACTGATGCTGAACTTCAAGATCTGCTGCAAAACGGGTCTAGTCTCAAGCTGGAAAAAGTAGTACTGCCAGACTCAAAAGAAGAAGTATATTGCGACATCACAGCGGGACAGCGACCATTCATAACTAAATCATTTCGAAGGCAGGTCTTCGATGCCCTCCACAACCTGAGTCACCCGGGATCAAAAGCAACAGTCCGCTTGGTAACCCAAAGGTTTGTCTGGCCTGGAGTAAGGCGAGACTGTCGGCGTTGGGCCAAGGAATGTCAACCATGTCAGAGAAGCAAGGTGTCCAGACACACGAAGGCACCTCTAACGTCATTCCCAGCACCATCTGCACGCTTCAGACACATACATCTAGACTTAGTAGGTCCGTTACCATTGTCTTCAGGCTTCAGGTACTGCCTTACCGTCATCGACCGAGTGACCCGATGGCCTGAAGCGTACCCTCTCGAGGACATTACGGCAGCAACCTGTGCAGTCGCCCTAACATCCGGGTGGTTTGCGCGGTTTGGCTGTCCTGAACACATAACCACCGATCGAGGCCGGCAGTTCACGTCTCAAACTTTTAAGGACCTCACTACGCTTGTCGGTGCTAAACATCATTTAACCACAGCTTACCACCCCGCAGCTAATGGTCTAGTAGAAAGGCTACACCGGCAGCTCAAAGCCGCTATTATATGCTACGCCACCTCTAGCTGGACCGAGGTTTTACCATGGGTGCTTCTTGGCATCCGCAGCGCGTGGAAGGAGGATATTCAGGCTTCAACAGCAGAACTGGTCTATGGCGAGACACTACGCTTACCTGGACAGTTCTTCAGCAGCACCACAGACGAAACTATAGACCTGAGCAGCCTGGTCAGCAGACTTCGTTCACACATGAGCAAGCTAACGCCACAACCCACATCTTGGCACAGCAGTTCCAGTCGTCCATTCTACGTACCTAAAAACCTGGAGGCAGCTACTCACGTCTTTCTGCGCCAAGGTCCAGAACGAAGGCCGCTGCAAGCTCCTTACCTAGGACCGTACAAGGTTCTGCAACGTAACTCTAAATATTATGACATCGAGGTGAAGGGGAAGACGCAAAGAGTTACAATAGATCGTCTCAAACCCGCATTTGTCACAAATGAGACACCGATAGTCACCACAGGCAGCGAAAAAGCAAAGGACCAACCCGTCTTGAAGAAGACCAGAAGCGGGCGCACTGTCAGATTTCCAGACTACTATCGCCCGTAGTCACGGTCTCACCGGGGGAGTGGTGTGGCGAGTAGGCGAGTAGGCGAGTAACCCCTATGCGTTAGGACGTAGCACCAGATCATACGATCTACGTCACATATGGCGTGATGTTCTCGACATGTAGGGGATAAGTACAGTAAGCCCCGCCTACAGCAAGATGACCGCCCATTTGCTATTATACTACCAGCGCGCGCGCAATATGGTCGACGCACATCTTTTGTTGTACGGCATACGCCCACGTTCAAAAAGTGCTAGGACCGAACCTTTTCTATGTTTATTATTGTTAACTATTTTCGTGTATAAATACTGTGTCGCATTGTGTGAGAAACCATTCCGACTTTTGTTATCGTCTTGGTACAAAAATAAAGAATTGTTTACGTGTTGCTCAAGTCCTTTGATTATTAATAACAAGCCGATACTAAGCAAATATCCTTCGCTTCGCTAGCATTATAAAATTATCAAATTTATTATAAATAACTGAATTAGGATAACAAGCTGTCAACAGTCCAGTGGTTCGGACGCCGACTGCACTGTGATAGAAGGGAGTTCGATTCCAACCTAATTCACTTCAGTTTTATTTATCATCGTCATCAACAGCCTTTAGGAGTCCACGGCTAGACTTAGGCCTCTCTTTAGAAAGGAGGTTTTGTCCTACTATACCACGCTGGGTATAGGGTTCTTGTCAAGTTTTCCTTCTCTTTGCAGTGCTGTCGTCCTGCGTAGTTTGCTCCCTTAGTCGACTCTTACTATGGTAAGACTCGACTAAGGGAGCAAACTACGCAGGGTATGCCCACGGTATGAAAATGCGTTGCCACAATCCGTATTCTTAAACCACACGGACAGTTTTAATGTTATTTATATCTACATTCTACATTACTTGTTTACCGTGGGAGCGTCCTTCAGCACAAATGGGTCAGCTCGACCACTTGAGTGTGATAACTCTTATACTAATATGTAACAATTCTTTCTTTGCTTCTCACAGAGTGTCTGAGGTTACCGGATCCACCAGCCCTCTCCCTGACTATATGTAATATTTTCGGACAACTTACACTCAACGCCATATAGTTTTAAACTAAGCAGAGCTCGTACTATGAAAGTTAGATTGACTGATAGAATACTTAGTTACTTTTTTTTGTAAATACAAATATTTGCCGATCATACAAAAACTTGGTCCAACCCGGGAATCAAAACTGAGACCTCAGCACAGCAGTCGCATACGCTACCAGTGCACCACCGAGGCGGTTATTGACGTTGATATGACCCAGGCAGTGATCCTCAAGGACACTCAAAGGGCAGCTTTCACTTGTGACCCTTGAGGCGAAGGAGTTCATGGGCGGCTATAGTCAGTTACCATCGGCTGACCCGTCTGCTTGTTTGCCCCCTTGCTATAAAAAAAAACGTTAACCATTATAACTTGAACCGTCTCATTGCGTAGACTCCTCATGAGTACGGAGAGTCTTAACAACTAGAGACAGGAAATGTGCCGACTGGCTCTCCAACGATGATGTTTTTTTGTATTGGCAATGGGTGAAAAAATATTTTGGCTCGTGAGTGTTAATTAACAAAAGGATTAAAATAAAATAATAAGAAATAATACTTTTTTCGGACATCTGACACACAACGCCATCTAGTTTAAAACTAAGCAGAGCTACTACTAGTAGCAGTAGCTAGATTGACTGATAGACTACTTTAACCATATATAATACTTGATCGATCGATCGATCGCGGTGATACTTTTTAGTTTTGCCATCTATCGATGAATAGCAGAACTTTTATTAATGTAATACCATCCACATACAATACCCCCCTCCTCCCCCCACCAAAAAAATTATAATTGTATTGAGTTCCCTTCAAAATACCTCCCCCTCTCTCCCCTCAACTTTTTTGGAGTATTTGGACCCCCATGTTTGGGATCGTCTGAACCGGGAAAAGGAGACGAACAATCTGGTCCCTAACATTTAACAACACTTCAGTCTGTTCTTCTAAAGAGGGGCGAAAGGAGGGGTATTTTCGAGGGATGACTTATTTTTTTATGATTGCATTGAGGTCCCCACAAAATACCTCCCCCTCTCCCCTCAACTTTTTTCATTTATCCCCCCTTTGATTTTCTCAGTTCCTGGAGCACGTGGGCCCCTATGTTTGGGTTCGTCTGAACCGGGAAAAGGAGACGAACAATCTGGTCCCTACAGATTTTTAGCTGATACCCGCGACTTTGTTTGCGTGGAATTTGAAAACGCTGCCATAGTGGGTTCGATTCCCGAGCCGGTCAAAATTCTTTAGGCTTTTCCTGAGATAATTATTTAATACTAGCTGGTACCCGCGACTTCGTTGGCGTGGAATAGAAAAAACTTGAATTAATATCAAAGAAAAAAAAATACTGCATAAATAAAAAATTATAATTGCATAAGTTGATAAATAAACCCTTTAAAAAAAAAAGTTGAACCGACTTCAAACAACACCGACAAAGAGCACTAAAAATTAAAAAATAATTACAAATCTAAGTAAAAAAATAGTCCCTTCTAGTCTCTTTGAAGTCGGTGCCAAGCCAAATAGGTGCTTGATAGGCATGGTAGAATGTAGCGCGGCAGCTGCAACTAAAGCTCTGCCTAGTTTGGGATCAGACTGCCGTGTCTAAAACGTTTCATTATAGGTATTTTGACAAACATTAATATATAGGTAATACAATAGACTTATAACATATGGCCATATTCTTTATGAAGCTGGTGGGCTAACAGATAACAGGTGGCTATTTAATGATTAGGTACATTACGTACTGTTCAATTAATAAACCTTCACGTATAAGCTGGATGTAGATTCATAGATTATTTCACAGATAATATACATATATTTAACTTTTTATAAAACTTTAAAATGAAATACCTAATGATATTACTAAAAGTGAAAGCTTGTTTAAATTTAAAAATAAATTAGGAGATTACATTAGGATAAAGTACTGACTCTAATATAGTTGTCTTTATATCTTTAGTTTTATATTACTGTATTAGTGTATTGTGATCACAGAGATACTTAACTAATTTATTGTGTTGTTACATTTTCTCATTATGTAAGTGAATTGTTCTTTTTATGAGAAATAAATGACTCTAAACCGAACTTAAAATGAATTCGTAGTTGGATCATCGAAAAATATAGTGTTTGTCTATCACGTAAAATAAACTAGCTTTAGTGAATTAAAAGTTGTCGTGGGACACCCGATAGGAACGAAGTTGTGACGATCGAGTAAAACTGATTCGACACGATTTTAATTACAACGCCATCTACACGGTGATTTTTTAGGCGTTTAGGAAACGAAACATTTTAATTTGGAATCATCTATAGTACCAATAAAAATGATTAAATCAATTGTAATGTTGTCTAAAAAAAAGTTTCAGTTTTAATATTCATTTTAACTCGATCGACTTGGAAAGTAGTAATGGACTGATCATTCATTCATTTTCTTATATGAATGAAACACGTCCGTGGGCGTTTCGGCGGCCGCTGCGCACCGCTGACGCTAACAGCAGCTGATAAAAGTATACCTATAGGCGCGAGCTAGCAAGTACTTACGTAGATAGACTCCAATTTGTCCTTCATACTTTACACGGGCTTAGGATCGTCGGCAATACCTATTTTATTTAAACTTCTTTTCGATTATTAACCACGATTGTTCTTTTTACATCAATTTATCAACGGACTGTAGGTATAAATATTTCAAACGTATTTAAAAAATCGGAGCTATCTACAGAATAATTAACTTAAATACCTATTTACACTATTTACACTTCTCTGTATCGAAGAAACTGCTCAAAATGGAGTCCGCTGCATTCAATACACAAACGTCCACGTTTAATGCAATTGTTTTTTAATTTTCTTAATGTGTCTCTAGTCTCTATCACTTTTCACTTTATCAAAAGCGTCCACTATCGCAATGCGTAAATTATCACGGCTTTCATATTCCCGTGTATAAACAAGTATTTTTATTTCCGACCATAAGAAAAAATCCAGGGGCGTTAAGTCCGGGCTTCTAGGCAGCCAAGGCACTGGCCCTCCTCGACCTATCCACCGATCACTAAACTCATTGTCCAGGTATGCACGCACTACACTCCGGCGAATAATAATTTAAACGTCCTTGACCTTGCGCGTGTTTACCTACTTGCGATTGAAAAGCCCTACTACTGGTTCTCACCTTTTCTCTGTAATCGATATGAATATCGACTTTGATGATAAAAAATATATGTATTTTATTAAATTAACGTTATAGTATATAGCTTCTGTTACTGATAAATAACTCAAAATTTTCTTTTCCCCAAACGCTTTCAAAATCACCGTGTATAAAAGCGGCTATTACCTACATATTTTTCAGTTGGTTTCTAATTAAAACAATTTATACATTGGTAAAATCTCCTTGAGAAATGATGTCGAATACAATATTTTTTGCTCAACCTAAGAACATAAATTTTAATTTTACTGAGATGAAAAGTAATGATTTCCTATCTATTCGATAGATGGCGCTGAATGACTGACAAGTGACAATTCAAAATAAAAAGTGTCGTTACAACTTTTCGTGAGATTTTTTTCCGTCTAGCCCCCTTTAACAACGCGCGATAATGAACTTCGTTCCAATGAAGTCACAATAGTAAAAAAAATATGCATGAAAAGGAACACATTTCCAATAGATCAAAAAAATTAAGTTCTCATTTCGGTTTTTTTTTGTTTGTCTTCTCAGAAATCTGTAATTTAAGGACCTATTTGGAAAATAGTTTTTTTATTTGGCAGGATATACTTGCCGTTTGGTCATATTAAAATTTAAAGAAAGATTACCACCAAAATATTGTGGTTGTGAAACCAAAAGGGAATGGTGTACCTATAATTTGTTAAGGTTCTGTCCAAATTGGTTGCAATATGACGATACTTGTTGAAAATATCGACAAAAGTCAATCGATTCGACACAACGAACTGATGCGACCCTGCGACAGAGAAAACGTCATAAGTGTTCTACTACGAGTGCGAAACTGAGCCGAACTAACTGACTGAATAAAGATAAATACGACCTACGTAAGTTGTTATTCTTCTTTACCTATAAACACGCCTGCGTTATTAATCATTGCCTCATATTTACAACTCTTTATCTGTACAATAATAAAGGCGGGCGAACTTTGCGCAGCAGAATCAGTACAATCAGTAGTGGCCTCGCTCGACCGTGACAGCACTGCCTCTTTATTTATTTTTTTGAATTCTGACAGTGACAGTAAATAGTAATTTTTCATTAGTGTTAAAATTATGGCTGAATTTAATTCAACTGGTAAGTGTCTGTGTTATATTTTTGTGATTAAATAGAAATGTAAGGTTATGTTTAATATAGTGAAATGATATCAGATAACTAGGCTCCAGGTCAAAGAAAGTCAAGGACGCTGGCAGATGAGTAGTGTAGGTACTGTTTACAATTATTGTTAAGTCGATATAATATGCTAGCGGTGCTAAATGTTGTTAAATAACTAGTTTTTTTAAGAATGCGTAGATTTATCTTATTCAACTGCGTGTCAATGACCTTAATATGCTTCCTATAAGTTAGTTTTTTTCACAAAAAACATATAAATTTATACTACTTGTGTGTAACAAATCTGGGTGCACGGCAGTGCCGCCAAGTTGAACTTAAATAAATAAAGGACCATCCTTCTCGCACCTATTCAAGACCTTTTTGACCTTGTTAAATTCGTTGTAGAGAAAATTAGAAGCATGCATTTCGTGAAATTCAGTGAAGCGCATAGTGTTTCAAGGCGTACCTAATCATAAATTATAATCAACAATTGTGTAGTTTAAAAACTTTTAAAGTTCTCTGATTTTGTTATTTCTGAATCTTAGCGATCATCATCATAAGTCATCATCAGCATCATCATAAGTCTTGCGTTTAGCCCATAAAGTATTGAAAAACCCAACGATACTAGAATTTTATGCTCGTTCGCTATATATACTAACTGCATTAATAACTTTTAAATTATAATATACGTATTCCATACGTATATCATAAATGTGAAAGTGAGTTGTTTTGTATTTTTCGGTTTTACGCCTAAACTACTTACCTATTTTAAAAAGTCTTTCAGCATTGGAAAGCTGTATTATCAGCAAATAACGTAGGTTCTTTTTACCGCGATAACCGACATACACTGTTTCGGTTTTTGATTTCTTCGTCTTATTTATTATTTATCATAATGTTCTAGAACACCAACACGTCCGCTACAATCCGCTCAAAGACGAATGGGTGCTTGTCTCACCACACCGCTGCAAGCGGCCTTGGAGTGGTCAGACCGAGAATGAGGAAGATGAACAGGGTCCAGACCCTAACAACCCCCTCCTGCCTAACGCCGTACGATCAAATGGACAGGTAATCATAATTTCAATAATTTTTGAAGATCTTTAAACGGTTTTTCTCAATAATGGATGTAATAATTACAAAATGTTCTATTTAAAATTTGGAACGTGACACTTGCCATCTGCTTTTATGAGAATCGAAGTTGATAATATTTGGAAATTGAAAGTATACAATACTACAATATTAAACAATATTAAACGTTAAAACATAGTGTCTCATTTTCATGGACATTTTGTATAATAGATATAGGGAGGTATGTTTACGCAAAAACTAGTGAATAAAAAAGAAACCTACCTAAATGCATGCACGACATGATAAATTAAAACAAACTATACCTACTCTTTTGTATTTAAATTTCTATCATTAGGAGCGGTAATTTTTCTTCAATTTGAATGGAACCAAACAAAGTAGCTCTCTCAAATAATAAAAGATTTTTTATTACTGACGGAACTGAACGGAATTCTAATGTAAGAAACACAAAAAAGCAAGCGAATCGAGAATTTTCTTTTATTAAAGTCTGTTTAAAAGTGTTTTATATCTCGTAATCTCGTAATTCATTTACAAAATGTTTCTTATTCAAACAGAAAAATCCCAACTATAAATCAACGTATGTTTTCCCGAACGACTTCCCGGCGTTACTGGAGAGAGTGCCTGAACCAGCTCCCTCCGATAACCCGTTGTTCAGGTCAGCGGCAGCTAAAGGTCATTGCAGGTATGGAGTGCTTTACAGTTTCGAAATCTGTTCAAAATTTTATCGACCTGATATTCGAGGAGACATGGCATGGACAAGGAATCGTGTCTTTAGTCCTTCTAAGGAAGGAGAAGGAGTTAGTTAAGAGTCAATACCATATAAAATACTCACTTGGCTGTGTCAGCTACCTCCATGCTTTGAGTCGCCTTGAAACGTCTTTAGCTCTGTCTTTATTAGATATACATTCATTTAGATTAAATTATAGTTTACAGAAAGTTAAAGAAAAGTCTTCTTCGTCTTCTATCAAACAAAAAGTAAAAACGTGTTTCAGTAAGAAGTGTATGTGTGTGTGCACTTATTTTACAAACAAAAATAAAAAAAACCTTTTATTTTGTTAGTACCTAATTAAGTTTAGTAATTAAATGTAGTTGTTTCTTTGAATAGAGATAGTTATATTTACATTCAAAGGAAGTGAATTTTAATATCGTAATGCAGCATCGATAGCTACTATACACGGTGATTTTGAAAGCGTTTTGGAAACGAAATATTTGAATTTGGAATCATCTATAGTACCAATAAAAATGATTAAACCAATTGTAATGTTGTCTAAAAAAAAGTTTCAGTTTTAATATTCATTTTTACTCGATCGACTTGGAAAGTAGTAATGGACTGATCGTTCATTCATTATCTTATATGAATGAAACACGTCCGTGGGCGTTTCGGCGGCCGCTGCGCACCGCCGACGCTAACAGCAGCTGACAAAACTATACCTATAGGCGCGAGCTAGCGAGTACTTACGTAGATAGACTCCAATTTGTCCTTCATACTTTACACGGGCTTAGGACCGTCAGAAATACCTATTTTATTTAAACTTCTTTTCGATTATTAACCACGATTGTTCTTTTCACAACAAATCAATTTATCAACGGACTGTAGGTATAAATATTTCAGGCGTATTTAAAAAATCGGAGCTATCTACAGAATAATTAACTTACATACCTATTTACACTATTTACAGTTCTCTGTATCGAAGGAACTGCTCAAAATGGAGTCCGCTGCATTCAATACACAAACGTCCACGTTTAATGCAATTGTTTTTTAATTTTCTTAATGTGTCTCTATCACTTTTCACTTTAAAGCGTCCACTATCGCAATGCGTAAATTATCACGGCTTTCATATTCCCGTGTATTAACAAGTCTTTTTATTTCCGACCATAAGAAAAAATCCAGGGGCGTTAAGTCCGATCACTAAGCTCATTGTCCAGGTATGCACGCACTACACTCCGGCGAATAATAATTAAAACGTCCTTGACCTTGCGCATGAGTAGGCGCACGAAATTGTCCGTGGTCGAGAAGACGTTGGGTTGCAGCCAAGATGGTAGGTGTGGAGGGAATTTGAGGGCTTTCAATTCCACGTAGCCGTAGTGCATTTAAATGCTCCGGCTTGGGAATACAAACGCCGAGCCTCTTCCAAGTTGTAGTTGGCAGTAGCGTACAGCTGTACCATTGCCAAGAAGTATTCCACGTTTGAAAATTCGTACTGTCGACTCATTTTAGCGCTAATCAATGCAGCGTGCCGTCACGATGTTATGGTATTACTGACCGACTGACGATGACAGGTGAGCCCCGCGCATGCGCCTACGGGGCAGACGTCATTGGTTGGACGACTCCGGCGCAACTCGGTAGCTTTGTTTTTATTGGCGAATACGATTTGATGTGACTCGATATTAAAACGCATAGTATTTCTATTCGTAGTATTTACCTACGTGTGATTGAATAGCCTACTACTACTGGTTCTGACTTTTTCTCTGTAAACGATATGAATATCGACTTTGATGATAAAAAAAATTATATTTTATTAAATTAACGTTATATATAGCTTCTGTTACTGATAAATAACTCAAAATTTTCTTTTCCAAAACGCTTTCAAAATCACCGTGTATAGTCCACCTTATCGTCAATAGGTGGCGTTGAAATAATTTGTTTAATGTTTACAGGGTAATGTGTTTCCATCCAGATTCCACTATGACGATACCGTTGATGACGGTGGACGAAATTGTAGCCGTTATTGAACAGTAAGTACATAGATTATTCTTTAATTAATCTATACTTATCTATAAAAGAAGAAACTGACAAACTAATTCACTGACTGATCGATCAACACACTGCTGAATCCGCTGTCTAGAAGCAAAAAAAATTTGCAAAAATGTTCCTTAGGTGACATAGGTGTGCACTAAGAAAGGATTTTTAAAAATTCAACCCTGCGGAGTTGGAAATTGTTATAAAACTTTTTTATTTTTAGTAGTAGCGTTTTCAAACTCACAGTGAATACTCCTTATTAAAAGTCTTGATGACAAAAGAACAATCTTGATTCATAGTATTCTCTATGATGTCTGGTGTAAAATTCGATATCAACACTGTAAAAAGCGTTCTAGTACGTTGTGATTAGACATACATATGTAAGACTTGTCGCTCCCGCGTGCACGTCGGTTATCGCGGTGAAAAGTAGTCTACTTATGTTCTTTTTCTGAAAACAAAGTATCTCCATACCAAATTGCATTAAAATCAGTTCAGCGGTTTAGCCGTGAAAGCGTAACAGATCTACAGTATATCTACATTTTACGTAATGTTTAGGTTATTCCTTTCCCGCAAGAGTTGCCCTCTTTAATTGAAATATTCTGCATGACTGAATGACATCTGCTCTCTTTACTTTTTTTCTATCTATTGCAAGTCTTTCTGTAGTTACCTATCGATTTCAGGTGGGTAAATCAAATCAACGAGCTGGGTCGCCGCTACACTTGGGTGCAGATCTTTGAGAACAAAGGAGCCGTCATGGGCTGTTCCAATCCTCACCCCCACTGTCAAATCTGGGCGTCCAGCTTCTTGCCCAATGAACCCAGGATCAAAGAGAGGTAAGGTTTTGCTGCGACGCGTCTGTACGGCACGCATCGTCACGCTATGTGATAGTATAATGTAACATGTAATGTGGTCTGGAGACGCGTCGCCATGCGCGTAAACGAGCAGACATGTCACCTGGCGGAAAGTGACAACCGGTTTGAAACTAGATGGCGTTGTGTGTCATATGTCCGAAAATATTTATTTATTTATCTTTACAGGACACAAAAAGAGTATTATATGCAGCACAAGAGACCAATGCTGGCAGACTACTTGAAGCAAGAGTTGGAAAAGAAAGTGAGTACGAGCTTTACGTGGAATAATACGGCCCTTGCAGGAAACCGTTCGTTGCTTTTCTCTGAGTGAGTGAGGTTGGCGTGTGCCCGATCCCCTTTCCCTTTTTGTGGAGGTATGTAAGGGCTGCCAACGTGCATGTGACTCTTGAGTTACATAAGTACAAAGGCAGCAGTTGACCCGACTGCCTCTATGTCCCCCTTTTTTTTATTCCTGTGCGGATATCCCCACGGATACCACCCACCGGTGGGATGGTTATGTCGGACTCGAACCGACAAAAAAACGCACGCCGTCTCGGGTACCAGTTGCCGGCCAAGTGTACCCTAAAAAGGAAATCCCATACACAATATCTTCAATTATTTTTTTTGGTGCAAAAAGTAGTATAATTCTGTCCTACAATTGAACCTCTGACTGACTGATTCATCAACGCAGAGCCTAAACCGCTGACACTGCAAATTAGCAACTGATCCTTTTTATGTTGTACCCACTAAGAATTGATTATTAAAAATTTTACCCCTATGGGGATAAAATAAGAGATGAGGCGGTTGTAAGTTTCAAAGTTAAAAACACGAAATAAGAAATTCACGTAAGTGAATCCATAGGCAATAGCTAGTCTATACAAATAAATAAAATTGGAGTGTCTGTTTGTAATATTAAAATAACCGCTTTTTACTAAATGCATATGTATGTTTACACGGTACATATGCTAAAATAACATTTTTTACAATTTTTGTCCGTCTGTCTGTTTGTTCCGGGTAATCTCTGGAACGGCTGGACCGATTTCGACGGGACTTTCACTGGCAGATAGCCGATGACATAAGGAGTAACTTAGGCTACTTTTTAGACTAGCTTCGCCCCGCGGCGTTGCCCGCGGTTATAACAACAAACGCGGGTAACACCGCGGGTCTCAGCTAGTCCTAAATAAATTTGATGTCCTTATTTGCATTCAAATATACCTGAAATCAATTTATTTCAGGAGCGAATCGTTGTGAAAAACTCTGAATGGGTGGCTGTGGTGCCCTACTGGGCTGTTTGGCCCTACGAGACTATGTTGCTGCCCATCAACGGCCTACCGCAAAGACTTTCCGACTTAACTGAGGATCAGAAGAGGGCGCTGGCTGAGATCATGAAGGAGCTCACCACAAAATATGACAATCTGTTTAAATGCAGCTTTCCATACAGCATGGGATGGCACGGTAAGTGAAGTTAGAAAAAAATACTGATTAGTAAAACTATTTCGTCCCTAAAGATCGTAGCGTGATCATGTCTCGGAAGTAATCTGATGATGTAGCCAGGAGGGAAATAGCGTAAATCATTAGTCAACCATTTTAACCATCGCCGTTTGAGCCATCTGAGAATTCAAATGATTGGTTCAATTTTCAATCATTTCTACTTTTCTTTCTAGGTGCCCCGACGGGACCCTCAAGAACAGTCGGAGATTCCCCCCACTGGCTCCTCCACGGAATATACTTACCCCCGCTCCTGCGGTCTGCCACGGTCAAGAAGTTCATGGTGGGCTACGAGATGCTTGCCCAGGCCCAGAGGGACCTCACTCCAGAACAAGCCGCCGAGAAACTAAGAGAGTGCGACAGTGTTCATTACAAGTGTAAAAAATAAAATTGTTAACCAGATTATTATTGCTTATTTTTAATTTTAAGGTAAATAAAAGCGGTATTGCGTTTTACTTTCAACGAATGCATCCTGTCTTTAAGTCATCCATAAACTATCACAGTTAAAAATATATTATAACTATGAAATCCTTAAAAACAGATCATGAGGTGGGCAACTATATAGAAAAGACCTATTTCTTAGTGTTCCATGGATTCACCGTGCGGGAGCCGGCTCCATCGCGTGATGGATGGAGGCAACACATGCGACTTCGACAGCGCCTGGAAATTGCGACTCAAGAATAGGTTTAGGTTCCGTAATTTATACATAACTAGCTGACCCGGCAAACGTTGTTTTGCCATATACATTATTTCTAGGAAATATGTAAAAAAAAATAGGGATGGGTCACCCTTGTCATTTAAAAAAAAATTGATGTTGGCCGATTTTCAGACCTACCCGATGTGCACTTAAAATTTCATAAAAATCGGTCCAGCCGTTTCGGAGGAGTATGGTAACTAACATTGTGACACGACTATTTCATATATAAGATATAATTAAAAAGAGTGTAAGTAAGTTTTATTTAATGTGGGTGAAAAAGCTTAAAAAAGTAAACACCTAAATGCAAACATTGATATGTACGCAAACAAAAGTAGATCGAATATTTAAATTATTTGAATAAAACGCCCCCCCCCCCCGCTCCCTCTAAGTGTTATAGTCTTTTTAAACATCCATACTTATTATTACAATTGAGAAAGTGAATTTGTTTGTTTGTTTGTTCCGTCTTCAAGCTTAAGCCACTAAGCCGATTTTATAAATTATTTCACCAATGGAAAGCTACATTATCAGAGAGTAACATAGGCTACTAATACCGCGATAACGAACATACACGCGGGCGGAGCCCCGTCGAAAGCTAACTATTAATAAAACAAAGTAAGTGCGATATCATTGGAAATTTCAAATAAGTATAAATATCATCAACGTTGGCCCATTTAATGCTTGATGGAAAAGTCCCAACTGATTGTAATAGGGGTCTGCCATTTTGAACAATGACCCATAAATGCCAATATATGCGAATCAATTGAATAATTTTATTTATTTAATTATTTTTGAATAAAGTTAATATTAACTTTTAAATAAGTAATACCGCCTTCAAGCCGCCTATATCATAATAAACTGTATTTTTTTATTCTTCCAAAACAAAAATCTTCTTAGTCTTTAAAACAAAACAAACTTTATCAAAAACTTTATAAACTTATTGTTGGCGCGGTTATGGGTGTGATGTCACAGATTAGTGATGGTTAACTCGAGTACCTAACCCGAGTGTACTCGAGTTGGACGTAACTCGAATCTACTCGAGTTGAATTTTCTCTAACTCGAGTTCGAAAAAAAATTCAAGCATATAATTTAACTAAGGAAAAAATATTCTTTGTGATACTAATTATCTTATTTTCTTGAAAATATTGTGATTCTGATTATAAAAATAGTTTAATTGATAGTAAATATTATTTTAAATACTTAAATAAATGATTGGATTTCACTCGAGTTAAATCGAGTAATATTTTTTCCGAGTTGGCTCATCACTATCACAGATTACCACAGATTTTTTTTATAAAGCCAATGTACTACCACAGATTACTAAATAGGTTATGCGAAGATTGTATAATGCGTTCTGAAATCAAACTCATATACTCAGACCACACTTAGGTGCGCCTACCTATATTTTACCTTAGTAACGTCATAAAATCGGAACATTTAATAATATTTATCTAAACATAACTACTCCGTGGCGAGTTATTTTAAAAAATTAATAAGAATTTAATTAAGTAACCACGTTTCCGAACAAATGATGCTCGAATTTAATTAAGTAACCACGTTTCCGAACAAACAATGCTCTTTCAATATAGTCTATGGCTGTGAATGACATTGGCTGCGTTCAAGTTTACTAAGTTCTTGGCAGATCTTAGCATATCTTGTAGCAACAACTTAAAGTAACTATATATTTTTTTAATCTATAATGAAACAATGCAAGACATATTTATTTAAGTGTATCTAAAATTTATTTTTTGGTAGAAAAAGTCAGCCCTGCTCAGAACTTAGTAAACCTGAACGCAGCCATTGATATTCGTTACGCGCGTTTTTTTAAATATGCAAAATTAAATGTATATTTTTCAATATTTCTGAGAGATTTTCTTAATATTTTTTTCCGTAAGAACCTTCTCCTAATAATAACAAATACAACAAAAAAAGAATTAGTGAAATCGGTCCAGCCATTCACGCGTGATGCCGTGACCAAGGAAAACGGGTTTCATTTTTATATATATAGATAAATAGATAATTTAGTTATATGTAATTACTTAATTATATTTAATTACTTAATTATTTGTATTACGGCATTTTAAATAAAACATATCCTTGACTCAATTAACAGTGCGAAATAATAATCTGTGCAGTAAAATCCGCCGGTCAAAAAATCTATAAATTCGTTCTAAATTACAAACGAATGAAGAAAAACTAAGTTCGGAAACTGACAGATTTTAACATGTTATATCTATGGAGCAAATACAAAGGTTATACCTAACGAAATGTGCACTATAAATAACTTAAATTAAGCACAATATGTGCGTTTCTTTCTTCTCTCTAGTTTCAGTTGTTCGCGGTCGGACTACTGAGACAAAATTTGCCTCATTAGTTCGATTATGACATCAAAATTAGCCTCAATAGTCCGGCCCTGAACAAAATTAGTGAACTACTGAGACTAATGACTTTTATCAGAAATTCCAAACTTAAGATTCCTTTTTTTCATAATTTACTGCCGCAATCATCATTTCACTTTTACCTTTAGGTCACCTCTACAGAGTAATCTTTTAATCCCACCAAAAACATTTTAATGTAAAATGTTGGCAAGATCTAAGAGAAGAGAGAACCTTGGATCTGCATGAGATTTGATAACTTTTACACATATAAGTCTCGTGTTGGCAACATTCTACATGAAAACGTTTTTGGTGGCATTTCACTTCTTTTTGTAAGTTGCTTATGACATTATTTATAACAGGAGGTTGTCTCATACAAACTGCTATCCCCTAGTTTAAGGGATAGGGGGAGGGGGATTAAAGTTCCAAGTTATAAAACTTTTTTGTTGTTTATGAACTAATACTAGCTCACATACCAATTATCAGCTTTCAGGACTTCAGGAAGTACCCTAAGAATTTTGATGATTATCCGTGTAGTGACGGATTAAGAATACGGATTGTCACTACCCCAATTCATCCCATCCATTCATTCAATTCATCGTCGACTAAGGGCGCAAAACAACGCAGGACACCAGCACTGCAAAAAGAAGGAAAACTTGATACAATCCCTATACCAACCCGTCTGGCCAGCGTGGTATAGTAGGCCAAAACCTTCTTTCTAAGGAGAGGCCTATGTCCAGCAGTGGACTATTAAAGGCTGTTGATGATGATGATGAGTGAGTTAGTGACGAAACCGGGATTTTTGAGATATCAATAAAACCAATAGCTATGAAATTGAAACTTTAGATGTTTAATAAGACCACTATTAACATCATATCTAGAGAATTTTGTTTGTCTGGTATAATCCACACCCAAGTTATGCGGGTGCAAAAAAAGACGAAGCACTTCAAGAAAAGGCAGGTGTGCGCTTATGCCTTGCTTGGCCCGTCTTGGCGAAGACACTGCCGTGCCCCCAAATTTGTCACATAGGGCACTAGAGGAATCTTCTATGTACACATCGGAGCAGCAGATCACTTAAGTTACAAGTAGTTAATAATATAATTTAAAGGCAATATGATCTATGTAAAGACAACCTTTGCAGAGGCAGGTGCCTCTGCAAAGGTTATCTTTACAGGAGGGATTCTTGTACATATATGGATCACTAGAGGTTCAACAGGAAAATCCGTTTAAATAAAAACTCTTCATACAAATAATACTATATTTATGAAATAACTACATTAAATGTAAGTAAGGCAAAGTTGTATATTTGTTCGACATGGCACTGTCATCGAATTGACATCACTGTAAGCATTGTAATTGATTTACTTGTTACGTAAAACTTAAAACTAAAAATTTAAATATACACAAGGAAGAATGTATAATTTGTATTTGTAGACTTCTTAAATCTAAACTGCATGGCTGGTGATTGGTGCTATGAGTAAAAAAAAAACTAAACTGGTTCTAATTTTAAACCTGTGACAGGATTATTTGTGAAGATACAAAATGCGTAAGTTTGTACTATTGTTCACAACATTTCTTTTTTTATGTGAAACATTTATTGCGGCGACCGAAAGTTGTCGTGGCGACGCGTCGCCATGGTTTATGATAGTAATTGTAACATGTAATGCGGTGTGGCATATATTTTTAATGGTGTTATATTTATTATTTCATTTCATAAGCTATCCTTTTATACTAATAATTTATACAAAATAATTTCGATGTTTCACATCTGTCAGACGTCCAGCGACGGCTCAATTTTTTTGTATGAATAAACAATACATCAATAGTATACAATAGTAAATAATTTATCATATTTTCTTAAAGCATATTGATTTAAAATTAGCACTGGTTTAGGAAAACCTTCATAATACCTACAAATTTTAAATATGGTACCTATTGACCCATCTCCCTACAGTGGGCTGAGTAATGGGATTCACTCATATTGGTAACCATTTTACTTATCGCTTTTTGGTAATAATAAATAATTGGTTGAAAATATTAATGTAAAAATACTGTTCACCTCGTACCCACAATGCGATAAAACTAGGTAGGTATGTGATTTTGCAAATGCAAATTATGTTACTACTTCTTATAGACCTAATATTGTGATGTTTGACATTTTTAAAAAAGTTAAATTGTGTGAAATCGAATCAATTCTATTCAATGATTTTAATTAAGAAAAAGCAGGAGTATACATAGTCCGTGTGGTGACGGATTAAAAAGGCGGAGTGTCACCATCCCTTTTCATCCCGTGGGTGTCTTAAGAGCCGACTAAGGGAGTAAACTACGCAGGACAACCTATAGCACTGCAAAGAGAAGGAAAACTTGAAAGAAAGGTCAGTGTGGTATAGTAGGCCAAAACCTCTTTTATAAGGAGAGGCGTATGTCCAGCAGTGGACTATTAAAGGCTGATCGTGAAGTATATGACGTTTGCAGTATAAAATAATTTTAATGGCACTAAACGGGAAATGTTCCATCCCTACTAAAATAATTTTCGAAATCAACACATTTGACGGCATTCTGAGGCAACTAATATTAAAAAAGAAAAAACCGGATTCCTCTATTATTTTTTTGAATCGGGTAGTTTTAGATCGTTATACAGAAAAATGAGTTTTAATTGTATTATACTAGAATAGCTATTGCTAGCTATAAAAATATGAGGGATTTTTGTAGTATCTCTGATATTATATACCAACTCATTCATTTAAATAAATTGTGATATTTATAGACGGCACAAAGCGACTCTGGTGTACCTCGAAATATCAAATGTCACAGCAGAGACCAAAAACTAATTCAAAAATTCATAACACGTTTTTTAAAACGTCCGATATTGTTATGTTACACTACAATATAAGTATAGATAAAAAGTAAACAAAAAAAAACTAAAATAAAATAGAAATAATGTATACGTATCACATGTTCACAGATTTCAGAATTATTCGATTTAACTTTTATTTATTCGAATTTCAATTTCAAAATACACTGTAAAAATAATATTCTTGGCCGTTATTATAAAAACGGTATTTTACAAAACCTTTATTTTTGAAATAGCTATTCATAAAACGCTACGTGATAATTTAAGAGCATTTACAATGTGTGTTGTGTACTAAATTGTATCACACAAGATCTAAAAGATTAGTGGAAGACTACCAACAGTTGAATCCCCACAACTCCGAGTAAACAGAGAGGGGATAGCGAGAGATCGGCGTTATCTCGATTGTACGAAATTCTTTAAAGTCAGATGCGTAAGATATTTATATAGAAGTGAAAATAGTAATGCAATTAGAAGTTATGTAAAAATATGCATAGAGCAATATAAGAGCTTAAATATGGACCCTATTTTCATATAAATTGCTATCGAATCATACCTACGGTCTTATACAAATGATTTTGTGAAGAATATAAATTGTTATGACATAAATTGTTCTGAAAATTGTTTTTAGTTCAGATGTTTTTGTAGCCTTTCCTTGGGTAGGGTATACCTGGTTCCCCGGCTACTGGTACCTGGAGACGGCGTGAGGTTTTTGGTCGGTTCGAGTCCGACATAATCACCCTATGGTAGATGGTATCCGAAGGGTCTCGCACAGAAAAAAAAAGGGGAAGTAAAAATAACGAGACCAGTGGGCGATTATACTTCCAAATTTTTTACACCAGTGTAGGTGAGTAATAATTTAAAACGTGGACCTTTAAAAATGTATAACCGACTTGAATTAGCTTTTATTCTTTAATTTTCACCTTTAGGGTTGATTCTTTTTTTTTAAATTTAGACAGGAAAAAGCGGAAAGTTTCAAATCGGTTCAAGTCAAGTTCAAGTTGAAGTCGGTTAAAAATAATAGCATGGATTACATTAATTTCGCGCGAATTAAACAGTTTGTAGGGTAAGTAAATTCTTCAAAAGATCAAATGCAAAAGACCAATTATATCATCCTTTTACATTATCGAAATATCTTTTCCTAATATAAAATGATCCATCATAATATGTATATAATTAAGAAATTCTCAACTACGCTTTCTCATTCTCTAACTCGCGCTTCTTCGCCAGCCTTCTTCTATGTATGAGTGGCACGAAACCCCATAGGGATGCCCCAAATATCAATATAAAGCCCAAAGTAATGAACAAAGATTTATAAGAGTGTGCGTATTCGAACCAGAAACCGCAAATTGGTGGTCCTAACAATTGCATGATACCATTCACAAACAAACTTATACCGTAAGAGGACATAAGTCTCTCCGTCCCCAGCATTTCCGTCATAACTAGTGCTGTGACACCCACATTGATACCAGAAGCGATACCGAATATCGAACAAAATACGCTTATAGTAGAATAACTATTTACTAAAGGTATAACGGCCAAACTCATACCTGATAATAACAGTCCAAATATAAAGAAGTATCGCTTAGGTGTTTGTACGAAATCCGATAGAGCGGAGCCCCCAAGTCGCCCAACCAAGTCTAACGCTGATATGATCGATAGTAAGTAGGCACCTCTAGACTTATCGAATCCTAGTTCTTGCGCATACGATGGCACTAAAATGATAAAATTCGTATACGAAATGGCACAAGTAGAGTTTGATATTAATATAACCAAATATATAGGATCTTTCAAAAGCTGTATATCGAAATATTTACTGGGTTGTGTTTTGCCTTCGTCATCTTTCGGTCGCTTTTTGCATCCACAACAGTAAGTTATTGGAGCTAAGCTATCCGTGACGGATTTCAAACTGAATTGGGAGGCGAATTCACTTGGTTTTTCGAAGGCCGACAGCGTTGAGCCATGGAAAGGTGTCGACATGTATTGGAAACTCGACGTGGAAGGACTGCGTTTTGGAGTTTTGGGGACGCCTAACTTTTTACCGAAAGCTTCTTGGGAGTTCACACGACTGCTTTTACCTTCTAGTACGGATTCTAACAGAGAAGGATTGCTGGGTAGGTAGCTTTTGCTGGATATGTGTTGAAGACCGTGTCGAGAACTTGCTGGAGTATTTTTCCGATGCCTTTCTGTTTCCTTTCCTGCGACTTGCACCGCACTTGCTGATCTAGCAAAGTCTTGTTTGTTACCTTCTTCTAGGTTGACGTTTGTGTGATGTTTAAAGATTGGCGGTGAACCGTTGGAGTGTTTGTCTCCTAACGGAGTAGTTTCATCATGAGTGAACGTTAGCTGGGGCTGGTTCGCTTCTTCTAAGTCTGCTGGGTCTTCTTCGGCAAATGGCTCCAACTGGAATGAAAGAAGAAATCTAATATTAAAATATCAAATGCTCCTTAGAGGAAAGGACTCTAAAATAGTTTAGAGTTTCAAGTAGGTGCATTATGGGAGTTCAAAGCAATAAAATTCAATCCCTAAGATAAATAATTTAGGTAAAAAAGCGACCGACTTCAATGTGCCTCAATTGCGATAAAAATTGAACAAGCTATCGTCTTTATATTCTAATTAATAAACCCTAGTGAAATATCTTCTTCAAAATTACTTAATTTTATTTATTGTATACACTTAACACATAACAAAAGATGACTTATAAATCTGCAAACGCAACAATCAGCGGTCTTATCGCTCTCGGTGATCTCTTATAGAAATTTTTTATAAGGATATTAGGTATTTAAAAAATTTGCGTAATTTTTAATTTTATTAAAGTAAATAAAATTTTACTTAATAAGTTAAATGGGACGAACTTTCAGCACGACAGATTGAAAAATAGAGTGATCTATTTAACTCGATTCTTAAATGGCGAAGGAATTGTTTGCAGTGCAAACAAATAAAATGTGTAACGAACTGAGAACTTCCTTCTATTTGTGGTTGGTTAACAATAGCATATACCATTCAGTTGCTGCTATGGCGTATCTGTAAGACCTTGTTTAGCAGGTGGCGATGAAGGTTCACAGAAACCACAGTAATGCCGAGTTCCTATAATACTTACGTACTATCGACATACCCATACGTGATAGTTTGTGAAACAGAATTGGTACGATGATGGTCGTCAAACGAAGTCCCTCGATGAATTATTATTGTTGTACCCGAAGATAAGTATTTACTTCTAAATACGCAAGAATCACTAATTTGGTTCTAAGTTAAATATTTTTTTCTAAAATAAGTATTTTTAATTTTACACATCCCGGTTTCGATTCGCCTTTAAGTTTTAAATACTAAATGACGAAAACTCCACTTAGTTTTTCTTATCAGATTTAACATTTATTTATACCACATATATGAGGGTCATTAAAAATAATTTGTAAACAACTAAAAAAAATTTCACAAAAGTCAAATGATACATCATTTTATACAAAAAATACATAATTTATTGTTAAAAAATACAATAAGGTACTTAATCGCTAACATTTGCTACTTAATACAAAAAACAAAGTATACACAATCATTATAATAATTCGGCTTTATGTCTTTCTCCAGGAAACACAAGGGAATGAGTTTAGGAATGAAATGTCTTTTTTGTTTAATTTTAACAACAAACCCTGTCTGGATCTTTTTCGAAATAAACTTTTTGTCTAATTAAATAAGCGACAATGAAATCAACATGAATCGTTAATTGTAACATCTTAAAGTACAGCATGAATTGTGCTCCATTACGAATTTTATCTTTCATTTATTTTTAAATATCTTTAAATAAAAAAAATGATTTGACAATAGCAAGATATGACGTCACGCCTTAGTATTTCATACAAAAAATGGCGCGTGTATGGTTTTTACGTTTAATAAAAACATACTGATTTGACTTGAATACTTACATAAAAAAGCAGTAAATACAACAATGATGATGTGACATGATTTCAAAGCATATAATTTTTTATATTCTTTTTTTGCTGTCTCCTTTTTTTATGTAATTTTATATGATATGTAAAAACGTAGATAAATTATAAAATTTATTTTGTTTTATTTTATCAAATACGTAAATTCCTCATACCGTTATATATCGATTCAAAACCACGTATAAGAATTTGTACGTGTGGTGACGGATTAATATTACGGAGTGCCATCACACCTATTCATCCCGTGGGTGTCGTAAGAGCCGACTAAGGGAGCAAACTACGCAGGGCAACAGCACTGCAACGAGAAGGAAAACCTGAAACAACTCCTATACCGACACTCATTTTTAAGGAGAAGCCTATGTCCAGTAGTGGACTATTAAAGGCTGTTGATGATGATATAACAATTTGAGGTTTTCATTCAATAACTAGTGTAGACGAACGAATTTAAAAGTCTTTATCATGATTTTGACCAGTGGATGGATCCGAAACATGGTCTCTCACTGAGAATTTGATAAACAAGCTCCGAGTCGAGCTATGGAGTACACTATGGTCGGTATTTCTCTGCGGGATCACAGACTAATGAAGATTACCCACAAATCACAACGGATCAGCAATTTTAAGTGTAAGTGACTAAATATATATACGAAGGTAAAGATATATTTTAAAAAACACGCTTTTACGGTAAACTCAACTAAAAAATAGAAATTAATTGTTAACTTGTAAAAAGCGCGCGATGCTTGACATGAAATGTAAAAAAAATAGTTTATTTGTATAGTTTATATAAAAATATAGTAAAAAGCACCTCACGGTTTCTATGTTAAAATTTAATGTTTTTTCACGATAACCATTCGTGTAAGTGTTGTATATTAAACACAATAGTAAACAAAATGAATTTTAATATATTAACTGTTCCGCTAACAGTTTTTTATCCATATTTTCATCTTTACTTTCAATAATTATAAGAGTTAGGTTATCTGGGAAGATTGATAGTGATGCAACGTTATTATTAGTAACGTTATTGAGATAACTGTAACGGTTATAACTCTATCGCCTTATCGCTATTTTTGTTTTTTATATTCGTTGCTGGTGTTTAGAGATATCTGTAATATTATATTATGTTGTGTCTTTTCATTTTTAAGGAATGTTTTGATGAAAGTTCACTGTTGACGTTTACATTTTAATTTAATTTTAATTATTTATCTTAAAAACATAGAATATAGCTCTCAAATGAATTGAGTAAAGATAGTCTTATCTTTCTTATTTTGTAGTAATTATTATTTACTAACAGGTGTATTTTTTTGCACTCAAAGTTTTGGTAAAATAAAATAGTATAAATAAGGCTATCATTGTAATAACTATTCATGGGATGGACGAAAAATATAAATTATTCGAGAAAATTTCGACTTGCGACTGGGGATATATGCGAGTTATCTTAAGTTAAATTTAGTTTACCAAAACCTGAAAATACTAAATTTGATCAACATTGATAATCGAATCACCGTAATACTCGGAATTCTTGAAATATACACACACTCATGAACTTTAGCAATATACATATTACAGGAAAGTATTAGGAATTAAAAAAAACTGGTTTCCAAATTTTCTAACATAAAAGTAAAAACTATACATCAAATATTACTTTTAAATTAATTATTTGTATAAACGTATAAATATGGTAACTTATTATCAAATGTATAATACGTCATACATCAAATTGGTGTCCAGTTTTTAATTCTTTACATTTAAAATAATAGCGAAATATGAGCTTTTAATACGCCTCAGCCGACCCCTACGAAGATATGGGCGTGAGTACATACATATGTTGTATTCAAATAATACAAAAATTAAATATATATATTATATATTAAATATATATATTCTAGTGTACCTAGAGTTACTTTTTTAGTTTTACGCTATACTGAAACAAATAACGTTATGAATAGTACCGTTATTTTTTGTAACGTTTTTATGGTTAATGTAACGTTACTCTAACTGCTATTGGTATCAATATTTTATCGCATAAAAGATTAATTTATTAAGCATAGCGTTCTTTATTAAATCGTAACGATAGATAGTTAAGTGATAATGTTGTTTAGTGTCACTAAGTACAAAAAAAATGAAAGTAGCAGTCGTTATTTTATGCTCAATAACTAAATATAACATGGGAAAAATATATAAAAGTGCCCCCGAAGTAATATTCAGCATTAAACAAAAAAATTAAATTATATTCATTGAAAAATATAACATTAATATCCATTTTTAACATAAGAACACGATTTTGAATATCATTTCTAAATAAAATAAATTCGGCAAAACTAAATTCGATAACTGTACATAGTATGTTTCACAAAATATGAAAACTGCTATGGAAATTGCCTCGTATGTCAATCAAAACATTAAAAATTATAATTATTAATAACAGCGAATACCAATGATATATGGTTACATACCAAATCGTAAAAACTGTTTACACAAAAGTAATTTATCTTGCAACTGTTTTCTCACAAAAACATACTAAAAAAAAGAAAAGAATAGGCCCATCAAATTAGTCGATCTATTATTATAAATATATCAAAAAATCCATCGATGTAAAAATTGTATTGGAAATCGTAATAACAAATCACAGCCTTAAGACGGTTGCAGCTTTCGCAATTTGCCTTTCCACCAACGATAGAGGAATTCAAGAAGAAATCAGACCAAAGCGGCAGGGGTATTCGAAGGTCATTGGAGAGATTCCTAAGCCATTGAAGAACTTAGTGTGATGAACGGAATCTATAAATAGGGGTTTTCAGCAAGTCTCATTAGCAGGAAACAAAAATGACTAATTTGACAGTTCCAAAAATCTTATGCAAAACATGTAGGAGACTAAATTTTGTTAAATGACACAAGTTAAACTTTCAAAGCCTCCCCAGCAAGTTTCTTCGCATGGTCCCTCTTCCTTTTATTAATTATCGGCATTAACAGCCACAGGGCTGCACCAAAAATGAATATCACACCGAAAGTCAAAAACATTCTCTTGTAACTTCTCTGATACTCGAACCAAATACCACATATCGGTGGCCCTATTAACTGCAAAATCCCGTTCACAAACAAACTAATACCATACGTGGACATAAGTCTTTCTACTCCTAAAATTTCAGCCATTACTAGGGTTGTCACGCTGTTGTTAACACCGGATGCGAGCCCAAATAACGCGCAAAAAACACTAATAGTTATATATGATTCCAAAAATGGTATTATTGCTAACGTAATACCAGAAAAAAGCAAACCGCCGACGAAGAAATACGTTTTAGGTATTAAATTCAAATCACAAAGTGCTGAGCCACTGATACGTCCGACCAGGTCCAGTGCTGAGACTGTACTGAGTAAATAAGCACCTCTTGCTTTATCGAAGCCAATATTTTGGGCGTGCGAAGGCAGCAGGATGATGAAGTTTGTGCATGAGATTGCTACTGTGCTACTCGATATCAATATGACTAGGTATGTCGGATCTGACAGAAGTGACAAATCAAAGAATTTGTTGTTTTTACTCTTATCTTTTGTACTCTTCTTCTTACAGCAGAAACAACAGTATGCTACTTCTGCAACGCTGTCAGTGACAGACTTCAATGAAAACTGTGAAGCGAATTCGTTCGGTTGCTCGAATGCTGATAAAGTGGACCCGTGGAAAGGCGTTGACACATGAGCAAAGCTTGACGTGGAGAAATTTCTTTTGGGACCTGCAGTGCTAAGTTTTCTACCAAAACCGTCTTGAGAACCTAATTTTTTCAAAATCCCATCATTAATTGACGACGAGCTATAAGTACTTTTGGGCATTGGCCGTGTGTAAGACAGTTTTCGTTTAGACGGGTTGTGACGTAACTGTTGTGATGACGTCATCGACTGTATGTTGCTAAGCGACATCTTCTTGTCAGGCGTGTGGCCGTTTTCGACTTTCTCTACTGACATCACAGTTGACGGTGGTATTTGGAAGTTCTCCACTGGTTCTTCCTCTTCGAATAGAATGTCGTCCTGAAATTTACACAAATTCGATGTATTATAGTAAAAATAAAGTTGTCTACCTTATATATTATGCATATTATATATTATCTATATCGGGTGCACATATAAATTTAATCCTAAATATACATATAATTTAACTAGGTTTCGTGACATTAATACATTTAAGCATTCGGTTCATTAATAACTTAAAAGTTTACGTTTTACCATCTAACTAGTACTTTATCAAAAATCGTAAAAATGTCAGGACCTAGTTTCAAATGACACAACACAACTGCTTTTTGATGTGTAACATCCTTCCTCTCGCTTTCCTGCAATCTTTGGTAGCGATTTCTAGAACATGGGACGGAAGTGTGTAACAGGAAGCCAAGGCAGCGTCCGCTATTTGAATAGACCAATGAGCGCGCGTGGTGCTGGATGTAAGATGTTACACATCATATGCGACTACTGTAAGGCTCGTTCGTTTTTTAAATTCTAGAAGCTTGTTAAAATACCAATTGTATTATTTGCTAATAACTTTTAAGTAATATGCCATATAGCAGCCAAAACTGATTGGAAGCAATTCAATGTTTCAATAATAAATTAGCAATTAAATAAGAATAAATAAAATCCTTTCAAAGATCTGGTTCACTCTCTTTTTTTTTCGTTAAACCATTCTTGGGATATTTATCGATTTTGGCTCTTGTGTGTGGTAAATTTTGATCCGTGTAATTCTTTTTATTCAATTAATAAGCTGCTGATTTGAGTGGGACCTGACAGCTGTTACGTTCTATTATTTTAGATGTTGAAATAAATATTAGTAATAAGAACTCTTGACACGGAGTGAGACTTGAAAAGGTTTTTAAGACCCTAACCAGATTGGAGGGTGGGTGGTGGTTAGGATGCTGAAGAAAGGCCTCGTTAAAAGCACACATAACCGGCGAGTGTGTATAAAAGTCTGATAGGTGTAGGAGAGGCGTGATTTGTACGTTATGGTTACTATGACGTACAGATCGCGTCTTTCAATAGCATTCTACCGTCTCTGTCTACTATGGGCGGGGATGAGGCGTGAATATGTATGTATTGACGCGGAGCTGCTATTACTTGTTTATTGATATTCCTTTTCTAGCAATTCAAATCTTATAATAATCAGTCAAAACCCTTCTAAATCAGCATTCTTTTTGCAGGAATTAAACGAATTAAAATTAACACTATAATTTTGGTCACTTGTCCACACCACATAGCAACTAAATCTCAACTATCTCTTCTTATTGGAAACAAAAAATAAAGTTATTTATAAAAACACCATTCGAAACGTTATTAACGATAATCACTTTCGTTACTAGTTATTTAAATAGCATTAGCACGATAACGGTTATAACTGGCGATATTTTTGAAAATGAAACTACGGTTCTAAAGCGTGTTAAGGAAAGTGATTATTCTGAAATGTGGTAGTGTTAGTGTAATTACGCGGCTAAAGATATAAAGTAAAAGCTAAAATACATTCGAGTATATTCATTAACTTTAATAAAGTTTGAGATGCTCTGAGGTTAATCTCAAAGTTTGGGGTCAAAAGAAAATATAAATTGTCAGGAATCTCTAGACAAACAACTAGGTTACTAACTACTGCTGTTGATAGTTTGTTTTCTGTACTTTGTACTTTCACACCTTAACGACTGAAATCTGTATATCATCATGAAATTTGCATACATGTTATCAGAGGGTGGGTGCTATAACCACCACGATGGTATCCGAGGGGATATCCGCACAGAAAAAAAAGGGGGTGGGTGATTCTTCGTTCTTTTTACTTCTTCGCTCTTTGTCCGCGACATAATATTAAAAAATAAAATAATATTTGAAAATAACCTGAATATATTTATATTCTTGACATTATGTCAAGTGCTTGATTCAAATAATTGAGTTTTTTAGAACAATTACCAACGGTGAATTTTATTTCCGCAGGAGGAGAATGACGCAGAAAAATAAAGAATTAAAAAAAAAACAATATTTACCGGGGTACAAGGGAACACGATATCGAGAACGTTAAATGTGGAAAATGGAGAGTGTAGAAAAGGAGGAAGGTATATAACAAGACGACGAAGGTCTGGGCTTAACGGAGTATAGCAACCTTAAACTGTCTACAAGAGCATTTTTACAAAACTAAAATTTAACTATGAGTGAAATACCTACCATAAATGTATTTGATAGCGTTCTCATGGGAATGTTAGTATATAGCACGGAACTAAAAATACGCCAATGCATACAGAAAAACAAAAATGCGACAACACAACACATAAGGTCATAGTTTCCCAAACTTTGATAGACATCAACAAGTGGACCCTATCAGTTAGACAGGAGACATCAACTACTATTATGTGACATCTAGCTAACGAAGGCAACAGAAAAGGGCACGTATTTACGATTGACACATTGTAAATTTGACATTTTATCAATGTAATACATTTGAAAGTTATTACACATACAGAAGTGTAGGTAACTAATAAAAATAATTTCTAAAACTTGCAAATCTAAGTCAAGTTGTAATTATTACAAACAACTATTTTACTTCAGCGTGTTTGCAAAAGTAAAGGTTGATAGCTGCACTGCTTAAGCTGCTATCTGAGCGTTTGTTACTACCAAAAACGATCGTAAACAGAGAAATGGTTACAGCTAATGGTGGAAGCAAATTAAGAAACAATTCACCTCCAAGATATTTAATTTACAATAAAAACTGATATCACAAATATTAGTGATATTTTATGATATAAATTCCACAGACTGTGTTACACAGCGCTATCTACTTGTTTCTATAATTAGCGTACTGAGATTTAGATGTGAGACAAAAAATCTCAATCTAAAACTGAATCTCTAAGTTTATCCAATCAGTTAAAATTTAGAAATCACATTTAAGGAAACCTCTTAGTGGTTCAAAATTCATGCAAATAGTTCTGCAATAGCCTTCATCTTATGTACTAATTATATGTACCCCCAAATTCTAAAGTAATAAACCGCAAGCCTCTTTAGTTTCTACTCATTCAATTGCTAAATTCAAGGCTAAATATAATAAACTACCAAAATTATAGCAATCGGTTTATACAAAAGTAGAAAAGCCATAATCCGGGTCTTTTTATTTTTTTTTGTGCAGCTAAAAAGTACTCAATAATGTCATAAGCACATAAGCCAACACAAAAAGTTGCTGACGTAACTAAAATGTACCAAAACCCTTAATACCGCTTTAAAAAATATACGAAAGAATTAAAACTAAGAATTTAGTACGTAGGTATAGCTTTCAATAAATTGATTCTATGGATATGTATGAACAGCCATATGTATATTTTGATACTTTGAAATACTGTACTTTGAGGTACATCAGCAGCAATCCAGAGCCACGTACAAAGGCATAGCAAACACAATATTTACAAACCCCAACGCCCCGCTTTGGGAAACTAAGGCCACATAAATACATGTAACATACAATAATAATGGATTATCGCTTACTTTAAATGTGTTGATGTCACCGACAATGCTCTTACAATCGAGTTTCATTTTCAAAAAAAGAACACTTCACGTTATATCACTTATACCATTTGAAGCATAAAAATGAATTATGTAACGAACGATGATGTAAACAACGTAGATCAATACGCGTGAGTTGGGCAGTGGCAGTTGCTCTAAGATATAATCATAGTTGATATATCAATTAAATTGAAATATGTAAAAAAGTAACAAATGGACCTTTATAAAAATAACTAATCTACTCAAACACTGCACTCGCAGTTTGAACAAATTTACAAATATTAATCTTTTTATTGAAAAAAAATCAAATTCGACTAAAAAGTAGTTTTACTAAAAATCTAATACTTTATATAAATTAGTGTTTAGATTAGACTGCCTTATGAGTATAATCTTAGGAATATTAAAAACTTTTAGTACTTTTATTAAATTAATGTAACTCATCAGCATTTAACCAAAACTGTGATTATTCTGAATTGGCGTTTGCAGTTTTTTAAATAAAAAATACACAAAAGAAAAATAGAACTTAGCCTTAAAGATACCAACTCATTTGTATTGATCTAAAATCAATTTGAATAGTGCTAATTATATTTAAACACCTGATATTATAAAAGTACTAATGAAATGACATCCCACGTAATGGTTCTATAAATCCACGTCATTACACCACCGAAATTTAAAAAGCAGCCTAATTATTACTAGTTTTTCAACGGTTATTACCGAAAATGATTTGTACAAAAACGTACAAGACTTATTAAAAAAAAACATTGTGACGTGCACTCACAAATGACTATACACAACCGCACAATACAAAACCGCTAATTGAAACAGATTTTTTTTATTAAATGACCCCATACAGTAAAACTAACGAAAATGAATCCTTCGTACCGTATTGCCCGCTTTTGGTATATTGAGCAAAACAATTAACATAAAGATATTTAATAAAAATCGAAAAGCTACCTTCTAGAAGTTGTTTAAGGGTATGAATCAAATAAAAAAGCAAAAGTAGCAAAAAGCCATCACAACTGTATACGGCAGATTTATTTACTGAAAAACATGTCTTTCACACACGCGTATGTGTAACATACATAGTTACTCAATATACCAATATTTTTTTTGACACCGTTTCCCAACATTGGTAAGTTTTCAATGAGTGATGGTCACATAGGGTATCCTTACATAGGTTGTAACCAAGGTATTAACTTTTATAACACCACTCACACAAGTAAACACGATGCTTTAGGTTTACGATAGATAAAATTAGTGTTTTCAAATTGTAGTCACCTAGTAAAATTGTGTAACCGACTTTAATGCACCTAAACTGTGTCTTATTTTTTTACCTATTCTAAATTAAAACAAATCTAAAATATTGAAATCGAACGGAGTATTGGAACTATGTTATTCTGGAACTCGTGTGGAACATGGACCATTAAAGGCTTAGTTTGTTCGTTATATTTGATCAAAAGTTCCCAAAAATGAATAATTTCGTCACAAATAATAAATTTACAGTATTTGGTTTAGAGTAGTTTTACGTGAAGTAGTAAAATATAATGTTAAAATGTACCCAAGTACCCAAGAATGTTGAGAAACGCTGGTGGACCCACAGAGCATTAACAAAACGGCAATTTATTAAGAATTCTAACAAAAACATGCATGTAAAAGACACACCACTAACGCAAAGAAATAATATTCCTAATTTGATGCTACCTCATTGTTAATGCTTCGTGGCTTTCAAAATCAAATTCGACACTAAAGTCTAAATAAATTTCTACAAACGTTGTATTCTTTCGCATTTGCTGATGTCTAAAATTAGAATAACTTAAGTTTTTTTTTAAAACACTTGAATTATAACGAACAGAACGCAACGCTTCCTAAAACTCAACTTACACATACATCACTACAATAAAATAACATTATCGCTTACACCACGAGTACAATAGAACAATATGCTATATAAATGTATACATATAATAGACCAAAAGTCAAAATTCTTCATTTTGTAGTTTGTACATAAAACTAGACGATTTAAAACAAAATATGTTTGGTTGGAGCGAACTCGGAGATGATCCAAATGATTAAATAGGTAACATGTCAACGGATAATGAAATGTAAACGAAAAGGGGGTCGAAGTCATTGAAGGGGTCATGTATTTGAAAATGTTGAGAATGGTATGTAAATTAAAGAATATCGATTTTCTTATTTTTCGTTTTTAAGTTTCAATTATTTATTAATGGGGACTAAGATATCTATTAGTAAAAATTTGGGAAATAAAAACAAAAAGAATGATAAATTTAACCACAAAATGTCAATAAAATGTTTACATCCACAAACATATTATTCTATCATCTCCTGATTTCTCCATCTAATCTCACCTGAGGCACGTCTTCATCCTCCTCCGGGTCCTTGTACTTCCTGACCATGTGCTCCTCGACAGGTTGGAACAGGAGAGCGGCCGCCCACACGTTCAACATGATACCGCCCAGCAGTAATACGGCACCCCTATAAAAAATTACAAATATCATCAACAGCTTTTCATAGTCCACTGCTGGACATAGGCTGGCCAGACGGATTAGTATAGAGTTTGTGTCAAGTTGCCAAGTTTATCTTCTATTTGCAGTGCTGTTGTCCTGCGTAGTTTGCTACCTTAATCACCTCTTACGACACCCACGGGATATATAGGGGGACACTGCGTATTCTTAATCCGTCACCACACGGACAACGCTGAGTGTTGTGGGTTGCATATATAGTAAGTAATATTGAATTATCATCATATAATTGAGTCTTACACAAGTTTTACTAAATATACCTTAGCCACTGCAAACTTTAATTAATAATAATAACCTTACACATCTCACACACGGCAGTCTGGTCCAAAAACTAGGCAGAGCCTATACTATGGTAACCAAACTGCTCATAAACATACTTATATACTTCTAAATATATTATATATAAATTGCACAAAGACACAGAACAAATGATCGTGCTTATCGCACAAATAGTTGTGCTGGGTGGGAATCGAACCAACGACCTCTGGTTTAGCAGTCAGGGTCACTAACCACTAAGGCCCACGTACCAGTCACATTACAGTAGGACAACAGGAAAGTTACGGATTCGTTTAAAAAAATCTACGTTTTGTTTAGGACAATTTTTATTGATATTGTTGAAAATAATATGATGGTGTTATGTAAATTGATTAAGAGAAAAGAAATCGTGTTTAATTATATTTATATTGCTAAAAAAACCCCACCACTACTATTCCCACGAATTAAGGGAGAGTGGAATAAAATAATGAAAAATGTTCACTCACTGGTATCCGTACGTCTCCAACATATATCGGAGGAATGGTGGAAGGATGATGCTGCCGAAAGCACTCCCCGACATACAGATCCCGTTGGCCAGCCCCCTGAGTCGCACGAAGTATGACGTCACGATGTACACCGTTGGCGGGAAAGCTAAACCTGCCCCCGCGCCCACCATTGCACCGAAACTTAAAAAAAAAATGGAAAAAAAAATTGGCTGTGGATATAAAACGCTTAGATCAGAACACGACACGTTTATTGTTATGATATACAACTAGGTATGTAGATATATATTTATTGTATACCAGCTTTTGCCCGCGGCTCCGCCTGCGTTAATGACAAACAAACTTTTAACCCTCCCCCCCCCGCTTTCACCACCTTAGAGTATGATTTCTGGGATAAAAACTACCCTATGTCCTTTCCAGGGACTCGGACGATCTCTATACCAAATATCGGTTCAGCGGTTTAAGCGTGAAGAGGTAACAGACAGACAGACACACTTTTATAATATTAGTATGGATTCCCTTTTTCTATCCTTACTTCTTCGCTTATCTTTTCGTGTGAATGTATTTCTTAGTAAAGTCTTGTTATATTTACTTTGGAACTTTTTATTTAAGTTTGGTGCACCTAATCACTCATGTCTACACCACCCCAAGGGAGACTGGCAGAGAAGGCATATGGCATTAAGTCAGTCAGATAAAATAAACATAAATAAATCAATTTAAAAAGAGGTACAAAGAATTTTCATCACGTATTAACATGTGGGTAGTCTAATAAACATATACTACAGCGCCACGTGTACATACACTGTGGTACATTGTGGTTGCATTAATAAGAAACGAGAAATATATGTAGATAAAACAAATCAGTGGATAGATGCCACCGCAGGCATCTATCCACCGCAGTGTACACTGAGGGTCAACCTATCTTCTGAAACGCGGCGTACAAGGCTCAGTTTTAAAAATTAGAGTTTTCAACATTAAAAGTTTTGTTTTATTTTTGTATGCTGTGCTTTACGAAATAAATAATATTCCATTCTATCTATTCTAAATCGTTGAAGCGGGTTGTACATCGTGTCTAAGCTCAATCGATGCAGAACTTTTTAAAGCGTTCACAAACCAAATTAACATTTATATATATCTACTAGCTGAGACCCGAGGTGTTACCCGCGTTTGTTGTTATAACCGCGGGCAACGCCGCGGGGCGAAGATATTCTAAAAAAAGTAGCCTAAGTTACTCCTTATGTCATCAGCTATTTGTCAGTGAAAGTGGAAATCGGTCCAGCCGTTCCAGAGATTACCCGGAACAAACAGACAGACAGACAGAGAAAAATTGTAAAAAATGTTATTTTGGCATATGTACTGTGTAAACATACATATGCATTTAGTAAAAAGCGGTTATTTTAATATTACAAACAGAAACTCCAATTTTATTTATTTGTATAGATATATATACAATTTAAAAGACCTAAGCGTACAACAAAAAAGATGTACTCACCTAAAATACAAGTAAGTGATGGAGAAGGCTTTACTGCTGAAGATCATGCCGAAAGCTGCTAAACTGCCGCCGATCAACGTCACAGTCCGATACGACCATTTCACTGACAGGATCGATGATATTGGACCTGGAAGGACACAACATTGTACATTTACAGTTAAGAGTGATATTTGATTGCAAAGAGGAGGAAAACTTAAAACAAACAATATACCAACCCGTCTGGAATGCGTGGTACAATAGGCCAAAACCTCCTTTCTAAGGAGAGGCCTATGTCCAGCAGTGGACTGTTAAAGGCTGTTGATGATGATGGCGTAGTGGTTCAACTCGGCGCTTCCTACTGCGCTGAGTGTTGTGTGTTCGATGGGACATGGCACAACACATTGTTGTATGATTAAAAATTGATGTTCTGAGTCTGGATGTTCTTTGGGTCCATTTCATGAGTGTTTGTAAAGTTCCCCACCAAGTGCAGTGTCCTATAGGTCACTTGCCTTTTTTTCTAAAAAATTTTCAAAGTTTAAATAAACTCACCAAGACTGCTGTATAGGAAGTAGCACAGTGCCACAATGCCTGACGAGGCAGATGCGCTGGACTGGAACACGTCATTGAACTCGACCAGCAGCACTCCGAATGACTTGATCGTACCGGGTATCAGGATATTCACCAATGTCGCTCCTGTAACATACACATCACATCCCCATTTTAGTTTTTGATGTGAAATATCTAATGTGGAGGGTTGGAACGGCATGGCGACGCTTCGCCTCGCTATCTGATAGTAATATATACCATGTAATGCGGCGTATGACGCCATGCGCAAATGACACTGCGGCTCCCTCACGCTGATTCAAAGTGAATTTATTCAATTCTACAAAATAATATCGATGTTTTACAACTGCCAGACGTCCACAGACAGCTCAATTTAAAAAAAAAACACCTTTCCTCTCGCTTTACCTGCAATCTGTGATAGTGACTTCATGAAACGATGACATGAACGATAGTCTACAGGAAGCTGATAATTTGATTTTACCAATCATCCATACTTCTATAATTATACTTATCATAAATTTTAAAGTCAATTTGTTTGTTTGTTACGTTTTTAAGCCAAAACCGATTTAAAAAATTCTTTCAAAAATGGTAAGCTACATTATCAGCGAGTAACATAGACTACTACTACTACTAGGCCGTGTGGTGACGGATTAAGAATACAAATTGTCACCACCCCAATTCATCCCGTGGGTGTCATAAGAGCCGACTAAGGGAGCAAACTAAGCAGGACAACAGCACTGCAAAGAGAAGGAAAACTTGAAACAAACCCTATACCAACCCGTCTGGCCAGCGTGGTATAGTAGGCCAAAACCTCCTTTCTAAGAGAGGCCTATGTCCAGCAGTGGACTAGTATAGGCTGTTGATGTGAACATAGACTACTCTTTACCACGATAACCGACATACACGCGGGCGGAGCTGCGGACAAAAGTAGTAACTGTAGTAATTGATAAATACAATAGAAAATAATAAAATTTATTGTTGTGATGACAAATATGTACAAATGGTTCGAAAGCAATCTCTTAAAGGTAACCTTTGAATGAATAAATTAACTGATTTACAGTTGACAGACGAATTAATGAGTAATTTTTGTGTGAAAAAGTGTACAAGATCAAAAATATTTATACACCATCCAGTATTTGTTATCAATAAAAAGTAAATGATAAAATTTGTAGTTCTATTATGATCCATATTGGTTTTTATTTCAAAGTACTTCATCATGAGTAGGTTTCAATTTATCACGACAAGTTTTGGCAGAAGCCTAACTGTCTAAAAAGAAATGGACTTTCGTGAACTCAGCACAAAAAAAACTGGCTTCTAAAATATTGTCTATTACCTATTAGATAGCAAAAAGTATACCCCAATTTTCTGGATTCAGACAAATAAACTTTTATCATTTATGAAAAAAAAAACAGGCGGTAAACTTGATACAAATTCTATACCAACCAGACGGTTTGGTACAGAATTTGTTTCGAAGAGACCAGCGTAGTATAGTAGGCCAAAACCTCCTTTCTAAGGACATGCCTATGTCCAGTAGTGGACTAGTAAAGGCTGTTGATCGTGACTATGATGATAATAAATTATTGATACATACATACACTCAGATCTTTCTCACCGAAGCAGTAGACGGAGGACGTGGGTTCAATTCCTACCCAAGACAAATAATTGCCTTATCATTTGAGTCCGAGTTTAATAAATTAGTATGTTTATCAGCAGTCTGGTTGATAAAATACAGTCATTAAGATGCGTCAAGTTATTAGCATACTTCACACACATAAAAGACAACCCTCAAACAATAGGTGCAAACAGATTAGCACTTTATTGTTTCGTGGAAAGAGTTGCTTTTTGAACAAACATTTGCAGCTTCCTCAATTAACGGCATATCTAATGCAGAAAGATAAAACTAAATCAGACATGGTCTGACCCTGAGATTAATGCGCTGAAATATAAAAAATACCGGACAAGTGTGAGTCGGACTCGCCCACCGAGGGTTTCTTACAAGTTTGTAGGTATTTCTATACAAATAAATAAAATTGGAGTGTCTGTTTGTAATATTAAAATAACCGCTTTTTACTAAATGCATATGTATGTTTACACGGCACATATGCCAAAATAACATTTTTTACAATTTTTGTCTGTCTGTATGTCTGTCTGTTCCGGGTAATCTCTGGAACGGCTGGACCGATTTCGATGGGACTTTCACTGGCAGATAGCTGATGATATAAGGAGTAACTTAGGCTACTTTTTTTAGACTAGCTTCGCCCCGCGGCGTTGCCCACGGTTATAACAACAAACGCGTTTAACACCGCGGGTCTCAGCTAGTAATTAAATAAATATGTACGTGTGATTTGTAACTACTATATACATATCTATATATATATATATATATATATAAGAGATTTCCACGTATATAGTCACTCATCACGATATCTCTGGAACCATTAGAGCTAAAGACTAGAAATTTGGTACTAATATTCTTTTCACCGAGTAGAGGTCAGCTAAGAACGGATTTGAGAAATTAAAAAAATAATAATTAAATAACGTAGGTAAATGGCAAAACAACGTTTGCAGGGTCAGCTAGTATATAATAAAAAAATTGTAGGTATATATTATCATGACACGGTGAAATCAATTCAAAATTTAGACCGCCGTTCTTTGCATGAAGACCCTGTTTTTTTATGATTTAATTACAAATGTATAGTTTCAGGTTTTTCCCTATACTTGTAGTATAAGACGGTATTACTTCCCAAATTAGGTTCTAGGTCAAGGGAAAATGGCCTATAAGTTTTGATTCCCTTGAGTGTCGAAATATACGTTTTTTGTGGCATAAACGGCCGTATCTTTTTTTTGTGTGACAGAGTGAATAGACTCCAGACCTGAGTATATCGTTTTAATTTCAACTCGATACCTCCACGCGTTCCTGAGATAAACGGTCTTGACAGACAGACGGCGGGAAACAAAATGATCCTTTAAGGGTTCCGTTTTTTTGCCAACCCAAAAAACAAGTATTTTTGATTTACTACATTTACTAGCCTTTGCCTGTTGTTTGAATCTAGATTTAGAGGTGGATCTAGATTTGAAGTCGGCTCTCCTCCCAAACCGCTGCGGCAGGGTAGTATTTTTGTGTAATCAGGACTCACGACAAGTTATATTTTGATTATCTACTTGAAATCGAGTAAACTAGACCTATTTAAAGAGGAAAGCCAAGATTTCCCCCTGCCGGATCCTCTCTTGCGTTGACATAGGTACTTTCCGCGTGAGAGTGAGTGCGGTTAATAGAGCTCCTGTCCCTCTCCTCTCCTATTAACGGAGGAGAGATCACACAAAGAGCTGCGATGCATTTATTCGTCTACAGTCGCAAGTGACCATGAGTATTTGTAGTCACTTACCATCAGGTGAGCCGTCTACTAGTATGCCCCCTATACCATAACGACATAGTTATACTCGTATATGACTGACATTAGTCAATTCTATTAGTCAAGCCCTTTCATTTGGTACCCATATTGGGGGAGTTGTGAAAAAATAAATGTAATCCGCCATTTCGTGGCGGCGGCCATCTTAGACCAATTTCAACAATCAAACATAGCTAAGAACACGCCCGACCTTTTAAACAATAAAAAATGATAAAAATCATCTCTGAAGCGTGTGGAATATCGTATCCAAATTTGAGCTCTTACGTATCCAAATCTGCACCGATTTGCAGTACTCTCTTAAATATAGACCAGCTAACGACATCCGCGCACCTTCGACTATTTCTCCCAAAAGGAATGAAGTTTTCTCAACATTTTTCATTGATTCTCGGCCCCTATTGGTCGTAGTATGATGTTAGGTAGCCTATATATTTTTTCGATAAAAGGGCTATTCAGTAGGTAGTGCCTGAGATTAACCCGAACGAAATTATTAGTATAGATAAAAAAGGATATTTACTGTGAGTTTGACTTCTACCAAAAGTACGAATTTTCATATAAATTTCCAAACCTTATTTTCCACTTTTAGTGGTGAAATTAAATAAATACCTTTCTAAGTGCACACCTACGTGACCTAAGGAACATTTGTGCGAAATTTCATGCTTCTATACCCAGGGGTTTCAGCTGTGCGTTGATCTATCAGTCAGTGAATCAGTTTTTGCTTTTATTAAACAAACTAAATAGTGTAGCATTTAACCGCGTAGTAACTATGAGTACCACCAGTAAGGCGGCACCTGGCGGATTACCTACGAGAACGCACCATCCCCACTTGCCATCGGGTGGGACCATCTCCCAGTCACGCGCCGGCGCCGGCCCGATCGTGAAACGCCCACCGCCAACCGCTGCGCTATCTTCTGGCAGCTTAACTGTGGACCAAAGAGAAAAATCTTGTTAGAAAAATACCCAAAGAATTAATTAATAATTGGGCTCGGATTTCCCGACAATAGCCAATTATATCATTTATTTATTTCCTTAAAAAGACAACTCCCACAAGGAATATATCCTGAGTCGCGGGGGATTTTACAGACATTCGTAACACAGACACAAATAATACCTAGACTCAGAACAACACTTTGTATATCACACAGTGTTGTCAAATGTGAGAATCGCGCCCACAACGCTCAATGCCGTAGGAAGCGGCGAGGTGTCCGCTAAACCACTACGCCGCACCATCCGTGCAGTCAAACATACATTTACAGGTATATGACCAGCTCCAGCTCTTGCTAACATCCCCTAATTAATATGTATTAGCAATATCTCTTTCCCTTCATGGGAAAAGTAGAATAACCGGTTTTGCTACCTTCAGTCGCATATCAGAATGGTCACCTGATGATCTAGCGTGAGTTCATTTCATATCAATTCGATCGTCACATTGTGATTGGTGAAGGTTTAAGGTCGGGCCAATCGAAACGCCGAACGCAGTCAAACTCACACCAGACGCTCTGATGATCGGTGATCAGCTCAAGGACACCTGCTACTCAATAGATACAAGCCAAACTTTTTGTGTGCACCTCCCCCAACTAGGAAGAAGGGAGGTTCAACATCCAGTCTCCTTACTCCTTAACCTTACTACTTTGTTGAAAAATAACAAAGAATAGTTTCAATAATTTCCTGTGAGGCCGCAGTATCAGTCCAGTCGAGCCGGCCCATTACGATCGAAGCATGACTCTTTCATTTCAGTCATTTCACACACTAGTGTTTGTAGACAGTTCAAGGTTTTTCAAAACCAAAGTTCGTCAGCCCATTTGGCCAACATCACAGTAGCAAAGTACCTCGATGCCATCTGTTCTCTAACAATTAGTCCGCCGTTCGAGAGTACGAGTAGTAGTTAAAACATTATATTAATAGATATCTTGCTCACAAGGACTGGCCATGAGCCAATTTTGGAACTGGAAGAGAGTCTAGAGGTGAGTGATCGTTTGAACTTTCGCGTTTGTAATAATATATGAACGATTTCAAGATTTAAATATTTCATTGCCCAGTATAACTTGAACTCACAGTTGTAGAGACTATTGTACCATGACAGGCCTAAATATATACTGGACACCTATAGTTTTAGGAAGACGTTCATACGTACATATGTATGTTTTATAGTTCATCTAATGTAAGAGGTACCGTTTGACAGTTCTGACAGATTGAAGTAAAGCGATGGGGTCAAAGAAATCTGTTACTACAATATCTACTAATCGATTATGTTACACATTTATGCATGTTAGTATAAAAGTCCGTGTATTGGCATATCATAGGTTGTACTAGTAAATCTTAGTATACACGAGCGATTTTTGCCTACAAAGATATATTTAAAATTACATTAACTTGCATACTTTAAATTTGAATTATGCGTTTTCGTTGACAGTTGGATGTCAGATGAATTTTAAGTATTATTAAATACTTTAACGCCTGGATTGAAAATGACCTGTTATTAATAAATAAGATTTTTCGTACGTTTTAACGAATATTCGTATTCAAGTAAATTTTACGAGCGTGACTTTGACGAAGTTTAAAAAAAAACACCTGCCTTGTATAAATTGGTTATTTTGCTTTGTTTCAAAGATTTAAATTTAAATTTAGTCATTATGAATTGTATATCTTGCAATAAAATAAAAAAAACCCGGCCAGGTACGAGTCGAACTCGTGCGCGCCGAGGGTTCCGTACCTACCCGGATTTTACGTAGATTTCCGCGAAAATTTGTAAGTACCAAAATTTATCTTAATTTTCAACTTTTTTATTTGTTTGAATTATTCCTTTATTTGTGCTTTAAGAAGTTTCTTTTTGCCAAATTTCGTGATTCTAGGTCAACGGGAACTACTCCATATAGGTTTTCGACCCAAAACCTATAGGGTACTTCCGGTTGACCTAGAATTGTCAATTTTGGTTAAAAGCAAGGTCTTACAGCACAACTAAAGAGAAAAATCTGAAAAATTATAAAATGTTGACAGTTAAGGTAAATTTTGGTACTTACAAGTTTTCGCGAAAATCGAAATTTGCCCATATCTTTTTATTGTGTTGACTCACAACCTAGATTTTTATACACCTAATAGGGACCATAGACCTCAGTATCTGGTATATATATATTTCAATTTGCTAGGTCCACCCTTTCCTAAGAAAATCGGTGGTGACACGCGGAAAGACGGACAAGAAAGTGATCTTATAAGGGTTCCTTTTTTTACCTTTTGAGGTACGGAACCCTACGGAATATGAAATAAAGCTTCTTAATTTCATAGTTTTAGGGTTAACGGTACCTCTTAGATTAGATGAAATAATTAACTATTTAGCAACTATTGTTTAAAATTTTGCACTTAAACAAAATATTCAAAATATGGTAGTATTCCTCTTTCAAATTTATTTTTTTCAGCACGTAAGCGTACTGTGGCATTAGGTACATTAGCTTGATGCTCAATGTGAAACAATTAAATAATCAAACTTTATTCCTCATTCAGCACTTACCGTGCGGTAGTTTCTAGTGATGGGGACTAAGTCGGGAAATTATGTGTTGTGTGCCTTTAAACACTTGGCAGACAAGAGACAACTTAAGACACGGCGTAGACTGAGGTTAACCTCAGTCTACGCCGTGTCTTTTTTTCCTCGGGCTGGTTCGGAATCGAACCGACTAAAACAACACGGTGTGTTTCTACGCCTAAAATAGGAGGGATGCGGGAACAGCTGTTATTAACACTTTCGGATCCATTGAAAATATAGACATGAAAGTCAATTCTCGTAATAAAAATTCGTTTCAAATTCACTTCCAATCTACTTTTGATCTCAGAAAGGTCATAAATGGTATTCCCGTAGTAAAATATTAAACATCCAACGGTGACCGAAAGTTCGATCGGTATTCTGTTGATCTTAGTAATACTTTACTATGATAATATATGTTATGACATTTGTGAGATCGAGAGTAGACTGGAACCGAATTTTATTACAGAAATATAACTTCTGAGTATATACATGTATATTAATTACTGTTTTTAAGCAAAACACTATGATATTTGTTTTTCCAATCTATCCTATCGTAATCTTAACACAATAACAATGTAGTTACGCAGAAATTTAACAAATATGGCCCGCATAAACACTTCGTCATAGAATGTTCTAGTAATCGCACACAATAAAACTTAAGACGTTATGAGCCGTTAAAACAAATGCATGTCCATGTTTTCTTAGAAACAATGGTGACGGCCTTCAACTCTTGCGTGAGTGTACGCACGCTCTGTGTACTTCATTAATTGCTTCATTACAATTTTATTCAATGAGGAAAGATTTTTTTGTTTGTATCGAATAGACTCCAAAAGTACTGGACCGATTTTAACCATTTCTAGGTTTCCGTACCTCAAAAGGTAAAAAAGGAACCCTTATAAGATCACTTTTTTGTCCGTCTGTCCGCGTGTCACCACCGATTTTCTCTGGAACGGGTAGACCTAGCAAGTTGAAATTTATACCAGATACTGAGGTCTATGGTCCCTATTAGGTGTATAAAAATCAAGGTCCTGAGTCAATGAGTGACGATTTTCCAAGATGGCGGGGCTGCTGCTGCTGCTGGGCAGGAGCTGGATGTAGTAAGCCAAAAATCGATCTAAGTGGCGAGGCCTATGTCCAGCAGTGGACTGCGATTAGCTGATAAGGATTAGATTAAAATTTAAAAAAATAAAAAAGTTGAAAATTACCACCTACAGGCCACAATAAAGGCCCTAAGTGAATAGTAGTGACCAGAACTGCCAGTCGTAAATATGTTGCTGGAATATTTAGTAACGCCTGATTTAATAGTAGACATACTTTTTTATAGCCAGTTTTTATGGCATGAAGACTATAATAAAAAGAATAAATATGTTTACGACAGTGAAAGACCTTCGTGGTGGTAGTTTTTTGACCTAAGAAAGTAATTATTAATACAATTAGGTTCACGTTGTCCGTGTGGTGACAGATTAAGAATACGAAGTGTCACCGCCCCAATTAATCCCGTGGGCGTCGTAAGAGCCGACTAAGGGATCTAACTAAGCAGGACAACAGCACTGCAAAGAGAAGGAAAACTTGAAACAAACCCTACACCAACCTGTCTGGTCAGCGTGGCATAGTAGGCCAAAAATTGCTTTTCAAGGAAAGGCATATGTCCAGCAGTCGACTATTAAAAGCTGTTGATGATACTAGAGGGTTAAGTGGGCAAAACAACATAGGGGATTTTCGAGTGTACGAGTACTCGTATGTATATTGTATGTAGTACCTGGATGACCGAGTTAGATTGATTAATCGCCCCCGAAACCCCCTCCATACTAAATTTCATGAAAATCCGAGATACGTTTCCGAGATTCAGATTACATATATACAAGAATTGCTCTTTTAAAGGTATTAGATGTATATTTTTTGGCAGGCTCTGTAACCTTAACTGCTTCATTGATTTTGGCGTTTGAGTTTCGATTACGATTCGTCTCAATTGTGAGAGAGACACTAGGTATTTGAAAAATTAAAATGCCTGCGCGGATTGCGTAGTAGTTTCAGCGGTCGCCACGCCGCTTCCTATTACGCTGAATGTTGTGGGTCCGATCCTCACATGGGACGACACTTTGTGTTATCTACAATTTGTTGTTCTGAGTCCCGCCGCACCATAATATATTCCTAACGATGGAGTTGTCTTTTTAAAAAGAAAGAAAAAATAAAAGAAAATAAATTTTAAGTAAGTACCCACACATTTTCACGCAGTCGGGCTGTATGAAAGCCCTGATAAATGTGGCAGAGGCGCGAGCTTATGTATCTGCTTACCCCGGACAGGAATGAAGCGTGAGTGTACGTGTGTACGTACGTATAATAATAACAATAATAATACTTAAACGTTAGGTATACAATGTATAACATTCAAAATGTTCACATGAT